TGTGAAGAGCTGATAGCACTTCACAATATACTGCATTATATATTTTGACTGAATTACTCTTTTCCTGAAGCAATCCTGACTTCATTGTGTTCAACCTGCTTTATCTCCACCAGAATTACTTTGGGTACAAGCCTACCCATGGTGTCTACCATGTTTCTAATCCAAATATGCTGTGGGAAAAAGCAATTAGACAATTCAGTATGAGCAAAAAGTGGGACAAGAAGAAGAGAAGAACACAAATTCAAGTTGTTCTATTTATTCCAGTGCTTGTGTTTCTGTAAGAAACGAGACTTAAATGGACACAATTTGGAATAAATTGTATGCTGTTTGGACTAAGGTTTTGAAGTACAAGGTGGACATCAGTTCACCTGTGGGGGGAGAGAAACAGGTGAGCCACCTGTTTCCTTCTGCAGTAGGGGGAGGAAACAAAATATAGCTCTGCAACAGCAATATTGCAACACCACAGACGGGTAACTGGCTTTCTGCAAGGCACACATTCCCATTTATACAGTGTCTGTTCTGTTAGTTGTCCCAGCAGCCTGGCTAAGCAGCTCCTACAAGTTTCTAATACAAGTTTTCTTTAGTCATCTTTAGTCACCACAGAACTGGGCCTATCTCCTGTCGATTCCATTTTAAGACTCCTAGTTCTGTCATGTATTGGAAACTTGTGTGCTTAGCCCAGTGCTGCCAAACCCATGGGGAAACAGGCACTGAAAAGCATAAGCAGGAGACAGACGGCTGTGTCTACATCCATCTCTGTGATAAATGAGATTTTTGCTCCAAAGGTTTGCTCCACTTTGGCTGAATATGCTTTAAAAAGAGGACTCTGGCCAGTCTTACAGAGTTACAATAGTCATTAACTCCAAACAGTTGAGGTCAAATCTGGTCCCCATTCTATGACAGGAAAACATCACAGCATTTCCACTTTATGTCACTTTGTCACTACAGTTGGTAAGGATATCATGGTACAGTTTGGGATAGCTAGACTGCACCAGTGCCCTGACCAGTAGGTACCCTTACACAAAGCTTGTGTCAAAGGCTGTGATCTCCAGATGCTTCCCAGGCAGTTCTAAGAGAGGTTTCTGTTCATGAAGCTAATCCAGAGCAAATTCACTATATAACCAGGATTAAGCACATTTCCAAGATGCAGTGGTGCATGGCTTGAGATAACACTAAATTCATCCTGTGTTCCATCTGCCTTGTGAACAATTACTCCTTTGTATATCAGGTAAATTACAGAACTTGACATTCAAGTTCTTCTTGGCACTTGCACAGTATTCCTGCAACATCTTTCTGGTTCACACTTGGAGCTGGGACACCATTTTTTGGCTTTAATACAAAGCTTCAAACTGACTTTGGACATTTTCTGTGCATGCTGCCAGTACCATCTTGGTTGAGCATAAGGTTTCAAGGCAATAAAAACTGGAAAAGAGTAAGTAGTAATATCCTGCTATTCTCCTTGCCAGCATAGGATTGCTTTCCCAACACTTTACTTATTTTTTGATTATTTTTTTGAGGATAGCCACAGATCCAACAAGTTATAACCAGGGACACTAAAAACACAGTAATATAAGCTAAGCTTTTACCACTAATAACTTGTGAGAATAGTTGCAAAAATTCCTTTATGTCCCTAATCTCCTTGGTCTCACACACCTCCTCCTTTTGGGTGTGGTTGGAGGAGGCAGAGGGGAAGTGAATGACTCTGAGGACTTGTTCCCACATTTCTCTTCCTACCATCCCTTACACGTACATATCTCCAACAGAGTAATACAAATAGCATGTCAGCAACCACCACCATCCCTTCACAGTTATGTAACTTCCTACTGCCATTTTCTACCTTTCCTAAAGTACCAGGTTGAAAGGAGCTGGGGCTGAGATCCACGAGTGCAGGAAGAGGGTGGACATCATTCCCTCACTTCCACTTCCAGCTCCTACTGTCTGTCTCATGCTTGACAGAGCAAGAATGAAGAAGCCAGAGAAAGAGCTAATAGAGCAAAGAGTATCAGAGATATCTGGCACTGGCTACCTCTGTGATATCTAGAAAAAATAAAATTCCTGATAGGCATACCAAGTCCCATTTTTCTGCTTCTGGAGAGACCAGAGAACAACTCTAGATAACTGGCATGCCAGTGCTGACCCAGGGGAATTGAGCTGGGAATTCAAAGCAGGGTGTGGGACATGAGGGTTGGAGGAAGGTCCAGAATAAGAGAAGTTTAGGAATACTGCGCAACTCGAGGATATGGGGGGAAGACAAAATTTGACACTTCCAGAACACTAATTTCCTTAGGGCACTATCTCAATAGCTTTTGTTGGGACTTCAAGTTCAGAGATAGACCCAAGCTGTTTTTCCTCTCCCCTTTCTACCCAGCCATAAGCTGCCACTGCAAAGGACTTCTCCCTTCATCTCCCCCTCTTTTTTTGCTGTCAGAAGTATAGCAGCCTTAAGCAATTAGCAGCAGCTGCCTTGTATTGGAACAATGAAACTACTGAACAATAGGGATAGCTTATTATTATGAGAGACCTAGCCCTATGATAATCCAGACCAGGAACTCCAAATTCACTGCCAGAAGAATTACTGGTTAGCATGTTATTAACTTCTTTGCATTCCAAGCTGGAAACAATTCATCCACTGTTTCACAAAATCAGTTTTTTAGTCTCCCAATCATACACATGTATGTCAAACACTGAAAGTTAGAATCTGATGTTGAAAGCAGGGGTGTAACTTAATCTGCAGCCCACCAAGACAACCAACGTGGTCCACTCTTCTGGGGGCAATCTGGGACTCAAATGCATACCAGACACATTCTTTGAGGCTGGTAGTAGCAGCCATTTCCCAAGAGCCCAAGACTCCTCTCCAGCATGATGCAATGGCCACAGAAGTACTTAACAGTGTGAATAATCTTCATGCAGCTACAAAACAAAAGGGACCTTTACTGTCTCTGTCTTGACTTTTCAGATAGACTTAAACCACAATTTTTCTCTTTACTGTATACAGTCTGGAATTTGACAAGTGCATCAGTAAGTTCAGAAACCAGGGGAGAAGAAACTAGGCTCATCTTTTTTCAGTGGTGCCCAGTGACATGGCAAGAGGTAATGAGCACAAACTTGAACATAAGAAGTTCCACCTAAACATGAGGAGGAACTTCTTCACTCTGAGGGTGGCAGACCACTGGAATAGGCTGCCCAGAGAGGTAGTGGAGTCTCTGTCTCCAGAGCCATTCAAAACCCAACTGCACACGTTCCTGTGCAACCTGCTGTAAATGGACCTGCTCTGACAGGGGGGTTGATCTTCAGAGGTCCCTTCCAACTCCGCCTGCTCTGGCAGGGGGGTTGATCTTCAGAGGTCCCTTCCAACTCCATATCATTCTTTGATTCTGTGATTAAATATTATGCGTTTCAGTCAGTATGAAAGTGAAGTTCACTGATTTTAACCATCTACTACTGTAAAACTATGACTCTTTGTTTGCTTGTAGTTAGCCACTGCACCCAAGGTTTTTGCTATCAACTTTTAAATCAACTGCTGTCCCAGGTTCCTCTTCTGTAACCATGGTGAAGACTAGGGAGTGAAACCCCAGGGGGTGCAGTTCCACGGTGCTCTCCCAAACTACCAGAAGCTGTCCACACCTGTTTAGCTTCAGTGAAGCAACTCTGAAACATCTCCTTAAGCAGCAGTATCCTTTGTTCACCTTCCATCAACTGCTATCTCGCTTCCTAAGCCAACTTCTTTCCAGCTTCCTGTCCTCTACACTGCAGTTGCTCAAGTCCTGCACAGCTCTGCACAGGGACTCAGTCACCTCCCCACACACAGAGTGTATCCACACTCTTTTTCTTCGTGAGGTTTATCTCTCCCAGCAATGTTCAGCTTTTACGGCTTATCACTTTGGCAAGGCTCTGAAAGGTGTAATTTCTCCTGCTATTTGAATTTACTCATTATTTGCACCATACTGTGGGTCTGCTTCTGCTGTTCAGTTTAGCCAAGTATCTGAACACTGTTTCTGACAGCCGGGAAGTCACCAGTTACGGGTACAGAGGCAGCAAGCCTGAATCACAAAATCTTCTAGGTTGGAAGGGACCTTAAAGATCATCTTGTCCAACCATCAACCTAATTTTGACAAAAATAGACACCCACACAACAAACAAAAAGCAACACCATCACTAAACCATATCTCCCAGCACTACATCAACCCATCTTTTGAACACCTCCAGGGATGGTGCCTCAGCCACCTCCCTGGCAGCCCATTCCAATGTCTGATAACCCTTCTGGTGAAAATTTTTTTCTTAATATCCAGCCTGAACCTCCCCTGGTGCAACTTGAGGCCATTTCCTCTAGTCCTGTCACCTGTGACTTGGGAGAAGAGACCGACCCCCGCCTCTCTACAACCTCCTTTCAAGTAGTTGTAGAGAGCAATAAGGTCTCCCCTCAGCCTCTTCTTCTCCAGGCTGAACAACCCCAGCTCCCTCAGCCTCTCCTCATAAGACCTGTGCTCCAGACCCCTCACCATCTTTGCTGCTCTTCTCTAGACCCGCAACGAGGCGCCCGAGCGCGGGCTCTGCCCCCGGGCCGCTGCCGGCCTGTGCGGGCGCGGGGCTGCAGAAGCCTGTGGGTGCGGAGCGAGCGACACCGCCATTGCGCCGGCACGTTCAACGAAGAGGGGCGGGTGTGAGGCGCAGTGAGGGAGCACGCACCGGCGCGCGCGCGTCTGTCTTCTAACGCGAGCTCCACTTACAGCTCAACAATTCAACACCGAGAGACACATCTCCCCAGTCCTGTCCGACACCCCTCATCAGGGCCGCCAGAGAAAACCGCAGCTTGTGGCACCGCCGTTACCCGCGGCACGGCCCCGCGGGAAAGGCCCTTCCTCGTAACCCACCGTCACACCGCTCACGACAGCCGCACCCAGGCGCGCTCCCGCCCTACCGGTGCCCGCGCCGCTGGGCCGCAGGGGGCGCTCTCTGGCGGCCGTGGGCCCGCCCCTCCGCCCCTGACGCCGGCGCGGGGCCGTGTGGGCCGGGCGGGCCGCAGAGGCGGAAGCGGCGGCGGGAGCGCGGAGATGGCGGCGGCGGCGGCGGCGGGCATGGGGCAGCAGTGGGTGCTGGTGGAGATGGTGCAGGCCTTCTACGAGGTGCGGCCTGGGGCGCGGGCCAGAGGTGCTGTCGGTCCGCCGGGTGTGTGTGTGGGTGGGTGTGCCGAAGGGGTCCCGCCGCCGGGGCCGGGCGGAGCGGGGGGGCCCGGGCGCCCCGTGGGTGTCGCAGCGGGAGTGGCGGGCGGGGTGCGAGGGCGCCCCGTGCCTGAGCCGCGGGTCCCGGGCGCGGGGAGTGGGGAGGTGAAGCCGGGGCTGCCCCGCGGGGTGGCGGCTGTCAGGGCGGCGCTGGCCGTGCCCGCGGCTCGGTGCTCGGCCCTCGCCAAGTGCTGAGTAGGTGTGTGTGTGTGTGTGTGCTCCGTGTTCATGTAGTCAAAAAAAAAATAAAAAAAAAAGACGCACGCTCTTAATTTTTCTTTATTTAAGCACAAAGCGACAGTTGAGGTGCATGCCAGAACATTAAACCTTAGTAAGATTCACAGTGTTCTTTGAGCGTAAGGTTGTAATTTACAAGTGTAATTTACGAAGGAAGAACCAGCTTTTAAATGTTTATGCTTGAGTTCCCTCCTGGAGAGGGTCAACATGGCACGTTTGCATCCAGGCTTTGTTTCGTGGTACTAAAAAGGATGTCCTGATGATAGGTGGTGTTCCTGTATCAACAGTCTGTTTCCCTCCTTCCTTTGGCAAACGTTGGTTACTTTTTAAGAATTTATACTAGGGTTTGCAGTACAAATATAGAAGTGCTTAGCCACTGAAGTTGGTAGCACAGTGAGTTCTGGATAATTGTAGGCACTGAGAAGCACAAAGAAGTAGTTTGCGTGGACCTGTACTGCTGCTTTTATCATGTGTTCTTTAGATGTCACGTTGTACATACGTATTCTTAATGTTTGGTGAACTGAAAAGTACTCTGCAAATGCATCATTTGCAGTTTGGTATGCCATAAGACTCCTTACTGGGTTTAAAAATATACACTCAATTTTCTTTTAGTTTCTGGATGCCTGGTACATTCCAATTCCTTTGTTGGTAGGTCACATCCCATCAGAAAACTGAGGTGTGGGAGCTTTTCCCCAGAGTTAAGGAGGGAGTGCACTAGTGTGTGTGCACTTTGAGTCTTTTAAAAATAGTAGACATCCATGATGTAGACAGGAGCCTTTCTAAATGGCATAATTAAACCCATCCTTAAAACGAGGTGTCTAATGCTAATGCCATAACTCAGTTTCTACTTTAAACTAGCTTTGCTGTCAGAGGAAAATGGCTTTCCTCCCTCCAAGCACCCAAAGAGGCTAAATTTATATTGGATCAACTCTCTGTTCTAGTTTGCTCTATATATTCCTAAATATTGTGCCCACACAAGAGGGTAAATGATACAGGCAGAACTGCTTCTGGTAACTGTATTGGGTTGTACCTGCTCTAAGTGCCTGTGAAACTAACATAAGTGGACTGTGAGGACAAGATTAGGTTTCTCTGTAAATAGTAGTAGCTGTTGCTGCTGATGGGCTATCGCTTATAAGAATGTAGGGTTGAAATGCATGTATATAGATGATGCAGAACTTCAAGCTCTCAGGAGACTTCTGCTTGTTGTGGAATCTTTCTGCCTTCACAGGTGCTGGTGCACCCTGTAAAGCTTATCTGCCTTTACTCTCAGAATTCAGTTTATGTGCATGTGTGGAACTAAAAGCGTTTATCAATTTAGAGTGTGCCTTGTGCATTAACAAGATAATAATTCCATTCAAACTCGAGTTAACAACTACAAGTGGTAGTTGCAAATCCACTTTCATATAATTTTGATTTTTAGTGATTTAGAAATACATATCAGCTGATGATCAGCTTTGATTTTTTCTGAATGTAGTAATAGAGACAAAACTGTTGTATAGTATCACACTGATTAAAGTAGAATTGTGTGTCCACTTATTTTTGTGCTTTTATTTTCAGGCTCCTGCTTACCATCTCATTTTGGAAGGAATTCTAATTCTATGGATAATCAGACTTCTTTTCTCCAAGACTTACAAGCTTCAAGAGCGATCTGATCTAACACCTAAAGTATGGTGGAAAATTATTTTTCTTTAGAGAAACAGTTTATAGCTATTGATATATTTGGCTGTTGAACCACTGCTGCATCACAAATTGTGCTGTTTTTTCTCAGGATTTCAAAGGGTAAACTTACTGTGAGCTATGAAACTGCTTATTGTTTAAACGCTTCAGTTCGTGCTTTTAAAGTAGTACCATGTTTGAGAGTCTGAGAAATACAAAAGATCTGGTGTAACTGTGATTGCTGAGCTATGAAAAGCTGTCATTAGTTCTACTCAGTGGATGGATTTGTTTTAAAAACAGAAGCTATACTAAAAAAGCACCACTGAACAAAATGAACTAGAAGAGTGTACAGAGTAGGAAACTGATTGGTCTGTACATAACTGAGTAATAACTGAGAGTTTACAGTGTTAAGTGGGTTCCAGAAAACTTTGTAGTTTAGTGACAGTTTTCGTTGAGGTACCATCCCTGGAGGTGTTCAAAAGACGGGTTGATGTAGTGCTGGGAGGTATGGTCTAGTGATGGTGTTGCTTTTTGTTTGTTGTGAGGGTGTCTATTTTTGTCAAAGTCAGGTTGACGGTTGGACAAGATGATCTTTAAGGTCCCTTCCAACCTAGAAGATTCTGTGATTCTTTTGCATTATAGCTGTCTCAAAAAAAAATAATGCTGTAATTGTTTGTGAAGACTGGAATTTCTCCCTGACTTCTGGCTGGAGACTGTCAGGAACGAGTAGAGTTTGTTTTGGAAATGTCCCTGGACTAATTTGTCTGAGATGTGATTGGTAAATGGGCTTGCTGCATTATGTCAGAGGATGCCATTGGATGTATTGAAAGGATGATTAGATGCACTCTCTGAACATGAAGATAGTGAGATGAACAAGGATGCACTCATTTTTCTCAAAGATGAACTATTGCAATGTGACAACCAACCTGCATATGTGAGAGTTGATCTGAACAATCTGAAGTCCCGAATAACAAACAAGCTTAGTTTGCTAGAGCATCAGAGGTATAGTGTCCTTTATGAATGGGATGAAATGCTGGAATTTTTTCACGGTACTGAGGAAAGTTTGTGAGAGAGATCTATGGATATCTTACCTTGTCATTCCCATCTGTATCATGCACTTCCATACTTTTTTATTTTATCCACACTAAGGACACTGAGTGTGTGGGCTCACTGTAATGCATCAGTGAACAGGATGCTGTAAATGTGAGCCAATCTGCTGGCAGCGCCCTCTTTTGGGAAGTACTTACTATACAAACTTAGAGTATTCTAGGGAACACTTCAGCATGGATTTATTGGAGCAGGAATCAAAAAAGGCCAGTTCAGGTTTGTGCTTAGAAGGATTTGAGTTGATCCTAGGATTCTTAAAGTTTGCCGCCTTTGATAACAATACAGAGGAGGAGTGAACCCAAAGGGAAGTCCAGTGTAATGAAATGCTGAATGTTCACAATATCTAGGAAGACATGCTGCAGTTTTAAAGTAGTCCCTGATTGTCCATTCAGAAGCTGATAGTTCATTCAGTAGAATTTTCCTGCATCAGATGGCTTTGATCTCTGGTATTTTGGAGGATACCATTTTTCTTTTGTAAGTTTTATTCTCTCTCCAGTAGATGATGGGAGAAGGATCTTTGCTACTCTTGCACAGGTGGTGACCTGAAAAAGCTGAAACCTATCTTTTCCTCACAGATAAGGATTAAACACAAATATTTCTATGTGCATCTTGAATGTTATCATTTATGGACAGACCACTTTGCTGAAGCTGAGGTATTTGGGAAAGTGCGCAGACCAATCTGAAAAAGTGGTATGCAGGGAAGAAAATCGTTTTCTGTCTTCTTAACTGGGGGCAATGAGCAATTGGGAGATTGCACTTTTAGCTGGTCTGCTGCAGTTCATTGGAAGCACAGGTTTAGAAGGGAGTCAAAAGAGGGAAAAACATTTGGAAATGGCTCATGCTTACTAACAGTCCTACTTTCGCAGGATGACAGTAGTAGAATTCACTGGCAAGACAGCAGTAGCAGGCTTTCTGACGAACATAATCATGCAAATATGTTAAATGCTGTGATACCTCTGATGAGATTCGTACAAAATTTACTGGACTTGAGGGGTAGAAAGTAATGTGAGTATTAGAAAAATTCATAGCAATCAAGAATTGCATTATGTAGATCCCAAATACATTGATTCACAATTGCTAGGCACAGAAGAAAGAAATTTGCAGCGCTAAGAGCTGTACTACAGCAAAGGGTTTGACTTGAGACGTTAAAGACATCAACACCTCTAGCTTTTTGTTACCTGTGTCTTGATGGCAAAAAGAATAGTATGGGGAAATGCTCTTTGGTCTGATGGTTTGCTCAGGTTGGCTGAAAATGAAGGAGATTTAAGTTAGCCTTGTTCGCTTTACCATTGACCTCTGAAGATGGAAGCAATGTTTTCCATAGGAAGAACTGTATTTGAAAGGGAATGTCTTGTCTACAGATTGTTTATTTGTAAGTAAGCATAAATAAAACAGCGAAGTTTCTACAGCTGGACGTCTTAAGCAGGTGGATACATCAGGGGTGTAGAGTGATTCCATCTCTTTTTCTACAGTGTAGGTAGTTGCTGTGAAAAGAGCTCATTTGTTTTGTGTAGGGAAATAGCTCTGGGAAAAAAAAACAAACCCTGCACCTTAATCTTCACTAAAAATCCAGAGGTGGTTCACACTGTATTGTGGGTTAACCCCAGTAGGCAGCTAAGCACTGCTTTCTCCCCAACCCCTAGTGGGACAGGGAAAGAGGAAAGGAAGATTAATAGCAAGAAAATTTGTGTATGTAGATAAAATTGTTTCATAAGCAAAGGAGAATTGGAAGAAGAGAGAAACAAGACAAGTGATGTGAAGACAATTGCTTACCACCTCCTGTGGGTCGACCGATACCCAGCTAGTTCTCAAGCAAAACTTCGCTAAACCCTCTCTTTTCCCTTTTATTGCTGACCATGACGTTCTATGGTTTGATTTGGTTAGTTCAGGTCATCTGCCTGGTTGTGTCCCCTCCCAACCTCTTGTGCAGCCCCCTATCTATTCAATGGAGGGGGAGAGTGAGAAACAGAAGGTCTTGACACTGCAAACACTGTTCAGCAAGAGCTACAACATTGGTGTGTTGTCAGCATTGTTTTGGTCACAGATCTAAAACAGTGATATAGGAGCTGCTGTGAAGAAAATTAATGCCATGCCAGCCAGAACCATTCAGTCTGTTTTGTACAATATGGGATCCCACACAGCCAGTCTTCTGTGTGTGTGTTGAGCTGCATGTAGTAACATGCCAGCTGTTCAGCGAGGAGGCTGCTGATTTACTTTCTGGTTTCTTCTAGTTTGATTCATGCTGTGATGTCCAGTATTTACCACACCAGAAAGAAATATCAGGCTGCTCAGGTTCAGGTGGTGGAGATAGGACAGCTCAGGTGTTGGAGCTCAGGCTACTTTTATGTCACTAGCTCATGTAATGATGGAGTTTCTCTGTGAAGTACTGGGGATGCTGCCAGAGCAGAGCTGCCTCCACACAATAAATACTACTGATGAATACCACTATTGCACAGCCATCTTAATGTGGTCTGTCAGGACCAGTCTGTCCTGGGGAACCTGAGGTAGATGATAGATTGTGCAACCTATTGCATTTAGGAGTCATACTTCTAAAACAGTGAAGAAATCCACCCCGAAGGTGGCTTCTGGGTTTAGTCAGAAGTGTAGCAAGAGTACTACGAAATCCAGTGCAGGGATCAGCTTTCAACTGTCTGTCATCCTTTAATAACAGTGTTTGTAGGTATTTCTATTGGTTCTATTCCAAAACAATGAAATCTCCCAAATCATTAACTGAGAAGGTGGAGTACATCTCTTGTGACTATAAGTTCCTGATAGTTGCTGATTTTGGGAAGTACATTAAATCGGTAGCCAGACAGAATGCTAGACATATAGATTCTTGCTGTCTTTTTACCCAAAATAAAATCCACAGAAAAGCAGCAAAATACCACTGAGGACTGGTGTGGGCAGTAGGAGGTTGCATGGCATCGTTTAGGTACAAGCTCACTCTCCAGCCAGCAGTTGTGTGAAAGGAAGGTGCCCTCAAGATGTATGTGTCTTTCACTCTGCAGTGAATGATCCTGAGCTTTTCTCTCAAAATCTCTGAAGTCCTACTAGAAGCCATGTCTTACCATTTGTGGATTGGGGGAATAGTGGTTTTCTTTGGGTTTGGAATTTTCACTGTAGTAGTAGCATGGGAACAGTTCTACTGGAGTGTATTAGTCAGGAGGCTGGAAAATTTCTGAGACAAGTGACTGAGCATGGCTGAAAAATAATGTAGGCCACAAGAGCACTCTCTTGCAGGAACAGCATTCAGATTGATCAGATGTAGTCTATTCTAGGAAAGGTTTTGAGTCCTTTTGAGCCAAGAATCCCCATGTAGGTAGAGATTCTCTTAAGTACTAGCATAGTTTGAAAGCGAGAAATTTCTACCGAGCATGTCCGTTTTTTGTGCCAATTTATGCCATGCTAATACATGATTCTGTAAATACCATAAATTTTTTATTTGTGGACCAGCAAATAAAAAAATATTATTACTCTTTGGATATTGACACAGATGCATGTATGAAACTGTTTTGTACCACTAGACTAAGAACTGTCTTCAGGAACTTAATTACTACCTTTTCTTAAAACCCGGGACAAGAAGGCGACTTACTTAAATAATCTGGGTTGGATATGTTTGCATCCAAGTATTTCTCGTGACTGCGGTGTCTGGTGTTTAAAAATTAAAAGCCACAATCAACAAAATACAACCACCCAACCCGTTTTATTTATTAAGATAGGTATTTAAAATGTTTATATATGCACAAATGTATAAATAAGTGTGTATATTATAATTTATAAACATTTTGTATCTTATATTCTTGCATGTACTGTGTATTAGTCATAAAAATAAAAATATTTTTAGATTTATATTTATATTTTATTTAACATCTATGTTTATATAAACTAAAAAGAATTTTAAGAAGGGAAGAGCTGAGAGTTCCCTTACGGTGCAGCTTGAGAGAAATTGAAAGTTTTGAGTTCGTTGTTTTCATCAGGTGGATACTACCAGTGAGTGAACTGAGGAGAAGTAAGTGTATCAACTATCTACTGAGGATGTTACATTGTGTATTGAAATCTGGTTTGAAAATTAATATTTTTGTTCTTGATAGTGGTCTGAATTTTGGTGCCTGTTTAGGAGGCAGGAGATATAAGTGCTATTGTTAATGTGAGGTTACTGTATGAAAGCCTGCTTCTGCTCTGTCTTTTTAGTCCGAGGGAGATGGTCATGTTTACCCTGAAAAGCGCGCAGGGTAGGGCAGTGTACCGAGATATTTGGTGAATGGAAGGAGGAAGGAGTATGGACTGTGCCATCTGCAGTGTGGATGGCCATTTTAGATTAAGATTGGCACTCTTTTTAATCACCAATATCTCCAATCCTCCACCATAATAAAGGAACTTCTACCACAAAAGTTTTTTAGTAACTACGGCCTGTGCTAAGTACATGTGGAAATGGAAAACATAAGATATGAAGATGCATTTGTTTGTCATTTGTGTTCCTGTGTCCATCAAAAAGCAAAATGCCGTATAATGGATATGAAGAATGAATGTGAGCTAGAATTAGTGAAATTGTGTTGTTTTAAATGATATTTTATTTTTCATTAAGATAAAAATCAGGATGTTGCCACATTTAATCTGTGGCTTGTCATCTATGCCATTAGTTTGTGTGTTGTAAACATTTCAGAGGGAAGAATGGAAACTTTTTACAACTTAGTATGAACCCAGCATGTTCCATGATTCTATGGGGGGAGCAGAAGTACTAGTTAGGAATTGCTCATGAGCTTTGTGTTCACAGATCTCAAATGCAATTGTACTATGTTAATATCGTAGTTACACTGCCCTTCTATAAATGCTGTTTTTCTTTCTGCTATGTTCCATGGCAAAAAGATCTTAATTGAATTTGTATATCAGCTGTTATGCTGCTTGGTAATATTTTGTATCCTTAGTTCAAAAAATTAGACTTAAATGAAAAAGTCAAGTATGTGCTTGCACAGCTTTAATTCTGTACTCTTTGAAGAAAAGGTAAGTTATGTTGCCTGCTCTGCCTTTGAACTATGTTCTATAAAAGCTGTTCAAATGTTCATTGTGCTCAGGTCTTAAACAGAAGAAGCACCGTGGTTCCTGAGTCCTCCCCCCTTACATGCATTTGATGTCATCTAATGGTTTTCTTATTTATCCTTCTGTAACTGTACCAGTTCTCACCTGATTTGTTCTGCTTCCTAATTAAAACAAAAAACAGTAACCAAAACAAACAAACAAACAAAAACAAACCTGGACCCTGCGCTCTTAAATGAACACAAACCTGTTGAAGCAAGCCACACTGTACATCAGGGGTTTGGGACCTTTTGACGCCAACTGTTGTAGGATCAGAGTGAATACTGCGTGAGCATACATCCTGCTTTCTGGTTTTTCAGAAGCCTTTCTGAACTCTTGTGAAAAGGTGTGAGAGATGACTGGGCAACTGTAACTCAGGATATGGTTTCCCAGTAGCATCAGCCAATCTAGGTTGGGAACTACTTTGTTGTAGGATCTAGTTTAGCTGTATAGCCATCCTGCTTTGACTGAGTTAGTTTTCATCTGGATCATTTTTCTGGACAAGGTTTAGTCTGGTTTTGTAATGGCCTATGCCAGCACAAGGAACAGGAATGTATTTGTGGCTGGAAGAGGACTGCGGTAAGCAGCTGCTGGCTGAAGTGTGCTGTGGATCAGCACGCTTAAATTATATATTTGATTTTATTTTTTTTTAAATAACAGGACAGTATAAAGATACATACTAGTAGCTGTCCTGAGTCAGGGATGGAATTGCCACTCTCTGTATTAGATCAATGTGATTTAGCATACAGGGTCAGGGTGGTTAAAGAAACTAAGCACTTTAACTTAAGTGTAGCCACTTTGAAATATTGGATACATTTAATTCTGTTGAACATGTTAATAGTATTTTATTTCCTTTAAAATGTATACACCATAGGTTAAATTTCAGTGTGAAATCTAAAATGAGAAAGTTAAAAGGCCTTTGAAGTACATCTGCAATGTACTGCAAACACAAGCAAATATACTCACATTAAAATTATCTTTTCCAAAATACAGAGCTATTGAAGTTTCCATTTCTGTTTTGAAATAGACATTTGTGGAGCTTCTGGAATGTTAATTAATACTCTGGAAATACCTAGAAACAAAGTTATTCATTAGTTTAGTAAAAGGGAAGTGATGAAAATGCAGGAGACGAGTTGTATCGTTGCATGTAGTTTCCTTTGATTTTTTTTCATACCCTAATTTGTGTTGGTACTTTGAAAGCTTTGAAAAGTTTATTTGGAAAAAAATAAAACCAGAAAAGATATTGCTGTGATGTTTTCAAAAAACAATTGCAGAATTTATATTTTGGTATTGAATTAAGTAGCCTAAAATATTCTGCTTTTTGAAATGGTAGAGAAATATAAACCCATTGTAGTTGTACCATTCAAAGTTAGTGTGTTAATAAATATGTTAGCAGGTGCGTCTTGCTGTACTAGTAGATAATCCCCTGGGAAAATTCTGCTCTCATGGTGTGAAATATGATTTTGGTGATTTGGCTGGGTGGTTGCTCATTTATGTGGAACTAGTTTAACTGTTATGCTGGTCCAGTGTATGTCCTTTGGAAGATTATCAAACTGAGGTTTTCCAAATAGTTTAAAGCACTTTAAAATGTGTTTGCATTCAGTATTCCTCCATGGTCAGACACATGGCTTAGTAGTTGTTACCATTTCTTGAGCATTTGGAAGTTTTTCTCCATTGTGTCCTGCTCACGTATGTGTTACTTTGCTAAGTGTTTTAATGTCACAGATATTTAAACAGCACATTGAAGAATTGCGAAAGTGATGCAATTTAGATTCAATAATTATGTAATTTGTATTCAATTACTTAAACTGTAGAGAAGGATTTTCATAATTAATAGATTGAATGAAACAGTATTGATTAAAATTTGGCAGAGATGCCAAGTTAGTATCTTTTCTCTTAATTATAATATCATGAGATCTTTAATGCACAGACACAACTGATCTATCTTTCTTTACATCTCTTTCCCTTTGAAGAATTCAGAGCCCCTCAGTTGAAAATACTGAGGTAATATGAGTTCAAAGTGTCTCAGAAAGGTGACACATATTAACATATATAATTTATCCTACAACTATTACCAAGTGTTTATTAGCACGTAATGCATTTTCTAATGAAAGTCCTTTTTGAGCAGTATTTCTTTTCTCCTGTTCAGGAAAAAGAAGAATTGATTGAAGAGTGGCAGCCAGAGCCTCTTGTACCTCCTGTACCAGAAGATCATCCAGCTCTCAACTACAACATTGTTTCAGGGTAAATGTAGCCAAAATACATTCTGTTTTTTATTTCAATTGAAATATTTTATGTCTGTATTTTTAAGCTTATTTCTTACTAAACATTTCCATATCCTTAAAACTGTTCATAAATTAATTGCATTGGTCTTGGGTTTGCAACGTTATCAAGGCATTGATATTGATATAAATTAATAATCATTTATATCAATCATCATCATTAACATTATTAAGAAAACCTTTCTTACTTTAAATGTTGTAATTATTTTTTTAAAATATTGGGGGATGGAAGGACACACTTTCTCTTTGCCTTTGCTGTAAGTCTGTGTTTAAGTAAAGTAAGTAGTAAGTTTCATTATTTTCTGAATGTGTAAACTTAGACCTCCAAAAATGGTTACCACCTGTGTGTAGAGACTAGGGGGAAACTGTGTCATCACAAGTCACTTCAGAAGAAACTGATTTTGTGGCTAGCCACTTGGCGCTTCATGAAAGGTTGTTCTTCTTGGGACAACCAGAACTGGAGATGCTTGATGGTGAAGTTGTTTTCTGAGGAAATTATGGCTCAGCATTACTTTCTTGCATATTACAAGGCTTTTAAAATATGTGCTGACTTAGGCAAGAGACACGGTACTTAAGAAATTGCTTTGAAGTTTCTTTCACAAATTGCAGATTTGTTTAGGTCACTTATTTCTACAATATAAGCATTTTTAATAGCCTTCTAGTGACAGTAATAATTTAAACTAATTTAGTGATAGAGCACAATTATTTGCTGTGATAGAAAGGTCCATTTTGATGGTTCTGCCACCACGGGAATGTCTGCCTTGGAAAAGGGATGCCTGTTTTAATCAACTATGACGTGAACAATCCTTATGTTATTGTTCAGAATTTTGAAACAAGCAGTACTCTGGAGTTAAAGGAAGTGTTGGATGTTTAAAAAAATCTAAACAAATACATTGTTTAGATTCATTCAGAAAATGTTTAAATTATTTAGAACTTACCAGTGTTTACAGCTAGGGAATGTATTGTGATAGAATGTTTAAGTGTTGTGGCTGTTAAACTTGAGAGTGGATATGGAGAAAACTTGGCATTTGTTTTGTAAGATTTAAACTGTCCAGTAAATACCTTCCCGTAAGTGGCTTGACAGCCATAAGATTGTAACTTGGTATATAAACTTAATACACATTTCATAATTAATACAGAAATGAAAGTGTCTGCATGCTAATTCCAGCTCAAGAACATTTCTACCTATTTTAATTAGTATTTTAGGAGATGCCTATTGACGCTAATGAGGTAGTCTTTCAGTGATTTTCATGTGTTAATGTCTACTGTGAATGATGCTTCACATAAATCTTCATTATCTTACTATGCAGTGGTTTAATATTGCATATTTGCAGTAATGTGTGGATAGGGTTTATATAGGCTCATAACCACTTAGGAAGTATTAAATATTTTGGTAATATTTTTGACCCATTGCATGGGGGAGGAAGACTTCATTCTCCCTCAAATATGCAAGGCAGTTTCTACCTTATGTAGAATCTTTCAGCTGAAGACTTGCATAACCCCAGTAATGTTGCCAAATGATAAGCAAAGCCAATAATGCAGAGATAGCTCCAAACAAAAAAAGTGACCAATCTTGAATCAATGGTGAAGAAGATGGCTCATGACATGATGGCTCAGTTACAGTCCAGAAATTAGTTACTTCTTGTGGTAGCCTTTCTGTGCACTAATCTCTGCAACGTAGCTTAGTTGTACGAGATGTCATTTAGAAACTGTAAAACTATTTCCTAAAACAGTATGTCTGCAGAATTCTCATGCTGATTGTCATTTTGCTCTAAAATAAAAAAGGCACTAATGATCTGGCTTTTAACTTTATTATCTTCTGTGACTGATTTTTCAATACATGCAACATTTAAAAAGTGAGTCCAAGTACAGATGGAGTGCTTTCAGTCCTTAAAAGACATAGTTTCTAAAGGACTTGTAAGTTCTTTGAATATACCTTGAAATTATGTCTTTATTTACGATTTCAGCTGGATCACTAAGTATTTCATAACCGTTGTCCCTGATGATGGTACCTAATGGGCTGTGTTACACTAGTGGAAAAGAAATGCATGAAACTATAAAGAAATCAAGAGTTTCACTGTTTTCTTTTTGCAAAGACATTGTTTTTGAAGTTGCAAGGAAGGTTTTATGATAGTGTTACATGTTTCAGATGTAATTATTGACTGGAATAGTCTTTTCCGTGACTGTTTTCGGACTAACCAGGAGTGTTCCTTTAGAAGGTTGGGTAGGATTTTGATAGCAAGGTGTGGCCATGTTTTCATGAGGGCTACAGGTTTGTTAGGGGCAAGTTGTTGGTGGACATTAATGTATTTTCTAGCTTTGAGAGGTGGAGCGGTGGACAAATTATTTAAATTTACCAGGTTTAATATATGCTGGGAATAAACTGAACTGAGTGTTAGTGGCAAAAGTATAGATATAGGTTTGCTCTTGTGAGTGTCTGCAAACCTAAGTAGTTGTTTCGCCTAATAGGACTTCCAACATTTGGCGCTGCTTGTTAATGAGTAAGAGAGTGGAACAGATCCAGATGTATTTTTAATGGCAGTCAGTTCCCCAGGACAGTTTGCTGTGCATTTGTGTAATGCTGCTACTGTGCAGAAGATGCACTGCAGTAATGCAGGACTGCTCCTTTGTGAGTTCTGGTTCCGCTTGTGTCACTCTAATGTCATGGAGTAAGAGTGATGCAGATGCATCAGTCTTTAACACAGTAAATTGTGTTACTGTTTTGTAAGCTTTACGATTGCTTGGTTGAAGCAACATGTGCTTAATTTCTAAAGTGAACAGATACAAAACAAGATGGAGTTTTTGTAAATCAAATTCAGGCAGACCAGTATTTTTATTAACTTGCAGTGAATGGCTTGGACTTAAAGTTTATTTGCTTTGCACACCAATTGTACCCATTGAAATACTGTCAGCAAACAGATTTGAAGTAGCTGTGCTCAGGCATTTGACGTTTGAGCAGTCCTGTTCAATTTTAATCGTGAAAATTGCTCAGCTCTCATTTCCACATAGGAAAAGCTTGTTGAAACTATTGTGATTCAGGAATAGGATCTCAACTGTAACATTTGACAACACATACAGAAATGGGCAGACATAAAGTTTTGTATTTGGCTTAGCTTTGGGACTTCTTAACACTTGAAGTGATTAATTGAAACTTTTGATTTTGTAGTATTGAAGTGTGTAATAGCCAAAACAGGATTGCTTTCAGGAAACAGCACACAGATGTTATACTTGCACTTAAAGGCTAATAGCTGTTTTTATCTTCAATTTTTTTAGTAACTTTATCTAAACAATAGGTTTTTTAGGGCAGAAAATTTCTCTGCCCTTTGCTTCATATATATATATATTGTGTTCTTGAGCACATGTTAATATCGGGTATTGTCACATTTTCTTTGTTTCCTGATTACATGAGTTATTCAAATGCTTGCAGATTAAACAGGATTGGAAACTTGAGATGACAGGTAATACAAGATTCAGTACAAGATAGGTATGGTGGGTTTACTTTATGACAAAAACATTGGTTTTAAAATAATTTTTACCATGGAAGTAAGTAAATGAAATTTCCTTTTTATTTGTAGTATTCCTTCTTTCAAATAGATCTCACTTTGCTCTTAAAGGAGAGGCTTTATTTACCTCTTCAGGAGTTAGTTCTTTAGTTAAACTAAATATTTCAGAAAAGTGTTTACAGTTTCTTAATTAAACTACAGGAATACAGTTTTTGCTGAGTATGGTCGTATATTTGTGATTTGACACAAATACTTATTGTCAGCTGCAAAGGCAAAAGCAGAAAGAGGGAATCTTGAAAAAGCTGTGTGCCTTTTACTGTTGAAAAACAAAACTCCTGTACTGTTTTGATTGTTTGTGAAAATGGCTATTGTTCATTCATAATAATAGGTCTGTAATTTTTTTTTATTCAGTCCTCCCACCCATATAATCACTGTTAATGGCAAGGAATGTATAAACTTTGCATCGTTTAACTTTCTTGGACTTTTGGATAATGAAAAGGTTAAGGTGAGTTCTTCCTATTGCTGTGTTTGTGTGATTATTCCTCTTTTACTTTGTTTTCTTGGAATTAGAAATTACTTCAGAAAGCACAAACTTTGTCAAGGAAGTATACTTCTAAAGCAGCAAGGAAGATTATAAACCTTGCAATTTTGTACTATTTGTTTCTTTTTACTAAGTTACTTTCTGGTGTAAGTAATGGTGTATGTACTGCTTATTAGCTAATTATTAAGTCAGATTAGTGTCTAATGTATCCTAAATCATTAGGATACAATAAGTGATACTTAAGCGCTTGTCTAAAATAGTTTTGGTGTGAAATTATTTCATAGAATTTAGTACGTTATTATACTTTCTGTAAAGCAGGTCAAGTTATGTGATGCAAGAGCTGGCATGTATGCATTGGTATGAAATAGTCAATGTAAAGTATATAGAATAGAGTCAGAGATATAGTGTAGAATAAATATTTTGTGTAATTCTTTTCTGTTAAAGAGTGCAGCCCAGGCATCTCTGAAGAAATACGGTGTTGGTACTTGTGGACCTAGAGGATTCTATGGTACTTTTGGTGAGTAACTTTTTTTTCTGTGTTTAAGGTGTTCAGACTTGTTTGGTAAGTCAGCCAAAATATTGCTATATATAAGCAGCAAATTATTTCTATTGTTGTGAAGAACAGTTACCCTCTAACACACTTTTTACTGTAATTGTTAACAATTGGTAGAGTTTATTGTTCATAGCCTTGTAATTAATTTTATTTATTTTCTTACTCTTTCTAATGGTGGTGTTGGAGGAGAGTTGCAAAGTTAGATATAATCTGCTTTAGTCCTGGTCACCATAGTAGAAAGTGAAAATAAACGTATTAGAATTTAATCATGCACGGTGAATTTAAGTGTAAATTAATAATAAGTTTCTAAGTAGAACACAAGAGGGCAGTCTCATTTCTGTGATAAAGGTTATTAGTTAAGTTTATTTAATGTGTAGTCAGAATGAAATTTTCCTTTACTGATAACTAATGTTGTAATTATGAGATTTTGTAACGCAAACGGGTGGGTTTTTTCATTCTTCTTAAGAAATGGTAAGTTGTTAAATATCAGCCTCTGGATGTGGTTCTTTACAGGCATTGGTATTTTGAAATGCTGCATGGAAGCCAAAGATTAATACATGAATAGCTGCACAGTTGCAGGCTAAAACCATCAACTCATTGTCTTGTGAGCTTTCTGGTCTCTTCCCAGAGATAAAGGAATTCACAGCATGTTTGTACTCAAATGACTTCATAGAGTTAGCTTCTTATATCCTTGACTTAAATTCAAGACTAACTTGAACTTTTCTTAGTTAATCAAACTAGTCCTTTAAGTGATCAGCCAGGTGCTGTACCTATTTTGATAGGTTCAGAACAAAGTTGAGTCTTCGATATTAATCTTGGATTGTTTGTTACTCTAGAATTGTAATTCATTTCTAAAGAAGGTGTTGGTAGCCCATAGATTAGTAGAGAGTTTTTAGAAAGCTAAATGCCCTCACGGATCACAGTTCAGCCGTGAATTCAGTTTGAATTCATACAGTCTTGTTTTTAATTTTTTGGTTGTGTTTTTGTTTTTTGTTTTTTCCCCAAAATACTGAAAAGCCCAGAGAAACTTGTGGACTAATGCCTCCTGCCTTTTGAGTCCAGGCTGATTTTAAGTTTTGTGGAATCTTTCACTTTGCTTCTTTCTAGTAATTATTTGGAACAGACAAGCTAAAAGTGGGTTTTCTTTGGTAAGTGCGAGATTCTTTGGGTTGAATATTGCAGGATTATGAATGTCTGATAAGAAACACTTCTTAACGTCAGTCATGTTGTATGCCTCAAACTTTTCACACATTGTTTCATGTGCTGTGACTTTGGTAAATGACTCATGTAGTTTTCTCGTACTAAACTATATAAGATTTAATTCATGATTGTCAGTTCTGTCACCCAGCTGACTGGAGGTTAGCAAACGTGACATCCATCTACAAAAAGGGCCAGAAGGAGGATCTGGTGAACTGCAGGCCTGTCAGTCTGACCTCAGTGCTAGGGAAGGTTATGGAGCAGACCATCTTGTGTGGCATCACATGGCACATACAGGACAACTAGGCAATCAGGCCCAGTCAACATGGGTTTATGAAAGGCAGGTCCTGCTTAACAAACCCGATCACCTTCAAGGTGACCCCCTTGGTGGATGAGGGAAAGGCTGTGGATGTTTTCTACTTGGAGTTTAGTAAAGCCTTTGACACCGTTTCCCACAACATTCTCCTGAAGAAACTGGCTGCTTATGGCTTGGATGGGTGTATTCTTCACCGGCTGAAAAATGGGCTGGATAACGAGCCCCAAAGAGGTGTGGAGAATGGAGTTAATCCCAGTTGGCAGCCCATCACAAGTGTTCCCTGGGGTTCGGTATTGGGACCAGTTCTGTATAATATCTTTATCAATGGTCTAGATGAGGGGATTGATTGCACTCTCAGTTAGTTTGCGGATGACACTAAGTTGGGCATGAGTGTTCATCTCCCTGATGATATGATGGCTCTACAGAGGGATCTGGACAGGCTGGATCAATGAGCCGAGGCCAATGGGATGAGGTTAAACAAGGCCAAGTGCTGGATCCTACAGTTTGGTCACATCAACCCCATGCAGCACTACAGGCTCTGGGAAGAGTGGCTGGAGAGCTGCCTGGCAGAAAAGGACCTGGGGATGTTGGTCGACAGCAGGCTGAACGTGAGCCAGCAGTGTGCTCAGGTGGCCAAGAAGGCAAACAGCAGCCTGGCCTGTATCAGAAATATAGTGGCCAGCAGGACTAGGGAAATGATAATACCTCTGTACTCAACGCTGGTGAGGCTGCATTTCAAATACTGTGTTCACTTTTGGGCCCTTCACTACAAGAAGGTTGTTGAGGTTCTGGACTGTGTCCAGAGAAAGGCAATGAAGCTGGTGAAGGGTCTAGAGCATAAGCCTTATGAGGAACAAACAAACCCGATCACCTTCAAGGTGACCCCCTTGGTGGATGAGGGAAAGGCTGTGGATGTTTTCTACTTGGAGTTTAGTAAAGCCTTTGACACCGTTTCCCACAACATTCTCCTGAAGAAACTGGCTGCTTATGGCTTGGATGGGTGTATTCTTCACCGGCTGAAAAATGGGCTGGATAACGAGCCCCAAAGAGGTGTGGAGAATGGAGTTAATCCCAGTTGGCAGCCCATCACAAGTGTTCCCTGGGGTTCGGTATTGGGACCAGTTCTGTATAATATCTTTATCAATGGTCTAGATGAGGGGATTGATTGCACTCTCAGTTAGTTTGCGGATGACACTAAGTTGGGCATGAGTGTTCATCTCCCTGATGATATGATGGCTCTACAGAGGGATCTGGACAGGCTGGATCAATGAGCCGAGGCCAATGGGATGAGGTTAAACAAGGCCAAGTGCTGGATCCTACAGTTTGGTCACATCAACCCCATGCAGCACTACAGGCTCTGGGAAGAGTGGCTGGAGAGCTGCCTGGCAGAAAAGGACCTGGGGATGTTGGTCGACAGCAGGCTGAACGTGAGCCAGCAGTGTGCTCAGGTGGCCAAGAAGGCAAACAGCAGCCTGGCCTGTATCAGAAATATAGTGGCCAGCAGGACTAGGGAAATGATAATACCTCTGTACTCAACGCTGGTGAGGCTGCATTTCAAATACTGTGTTCACTTTTGGGCCCTTCACTACAAGAAGGTTGTTGAGGTTCTGGACTGTGTCCAGAGAAAGGCAATGAAGCTGGTGAAGGGTCTAGAGCATAAGCCTTATGAGGAACAGCTGAGGGTACTGTGGTTGTTTAGCCTGGAAAAAAAGAGGCTGAGGAGAGACCTTATTGCTCTTTACAACTACATGAAAGGGGGTTGTAGCGAGGTCAGGGCCAATCCCTTCTGCCAAGGAACAGATGATAGGACAAGAGGAAATGACCTCCGTTGTGCCAGGGGCGGTTTAAATTGGATGCTAGGAGAAGTTTCTTCACCAAAAGGGTTGTCAAGCATTGGAACATTGAGTCACCATCCCTGGAGGTATTTAAAAGACACGTAAATGTTGTACTTAAAGACATGGTGTAGTGGTGGACTTCGTAGTGTTAGGTTAACAGTTGGACTCAATGATCTTAAAGGTCTTTTCTAACCTGTGATCCTGTGATTCTGTGATCTCTTTATAACATGCTATCTATGTTTCCAAATAATTTTTTTTTAAATGTAAGACTTATTATTCATATCTCTGCCTGTTTGAAGGGACAGTTTGGTCACATCAACCCCATGCAGCACTACAGGCTCTGGGAAGAGTGGCTGGAGAGCTGCCTGGCAGAAAAGGACCTGGGGATGTTGGTCGACAGCAGGCTGAACGTGAGCCAGCAGTGTGCTCAGGTGGCCAAGAAGGCAAACAGCAGCCTGGCCTGTATCAGAAATATAGTGGCCAGCAGGACTAGGGAAATGATAATACCTCTGTACTCAACGCTGGTGAGGCTGCATTTCAAATACTGTGTTCACTTTTGGGCCCTTCACTACAAGAAGGTTGTTGAGGTTCTGGACTGTGTCCAGAGAAAGGCAATGAAGCTGGTGAAGGGTCTAGAGCATAAGCCTTATGAGGAACAGCTGAGGGTACTGTGGTTGTTTAGCCTGGAAAAAAAGAGGCTGAGGAGAGACCTTATTGCTCTTTACAACTACATGAAAGGGGGTTGTAGCGAGGTCAGGGCCAATCCCTTCTGCCAAGGAACAGATGATAGGACAAGAGGAAATGACCTCCGTTGTGCCAGGGGCGGTTTAAATTGGATGCTAGGAGAAGTTTCTTCACCAAAAGGGTTGTCAAGCATTGGAACATTGAGTCACCATCCCTGGAGGTATTTAAAAGACACGTAAATGTTGTACTTAAAGACATGGTGTAGTGGTGGACTTCGTAGTGTTAGGTTAACAGTTGGACTCAATGATCTTAAAGGTCTTTTCTAACCTGTGATCCTGTGATTCTGTGATCTCTTTATAACATGCTATCTATGTTTCCAAATAATTTTTTTTTAAATGTAAGACTTATTATTCATATCTCTGCCTGTTTGAAGGGATTTCGTAGCTTTAGTGAGTTTCCCTATTAAGAAGATATTTTCGCTTTGTTCTGTATCCCTGAAAACTGTATACTTGTGTTTATGCTATGATAAACTTGAAATACTAGTATATTCATACATAACTGAATCTTTATGGTTATTTTCTCCATAATAAGCTGAGAGGTGTATCACTTTTTGGTGGTGTATTTTTTTAAGGCTATTGTTGATTGCCTAGCAGCTGCAATTTTTGTGCTACTGTGAAGATCAGAACTGGCTATCCCAAGATAATATGTAAAAGATTATGTGGGATTTGGTCTCAGTTCTGCCTTTGAGTTGCATGCAAGCTCATGCTAGGCAGGAAACTGGCTTTTCATAGTGGTGTTGACAAATAATAGCTTTATTAAGGTTTCATAATTACGTAGAAAGCTGCTCCAGTCTTATCTTCCTATGTGCAAAGGTACACTAGGTAGTGTTTGCAGCTTTCACTTTAGGTAGGCTAATCCAAGTGATGTAACCAGATTAAAGCAAATCATAGCAATAAAGGATAGGGGAGTCAGATAGTATTCTCTTTTTATCATTGTGGAATGTTAGTGAAGCCTTACTTAATACTGTTTTAAACTTGTCAACCTCACAATTATACGAAACATTCATTCCGTTATGTAACATTCCGTTATGTTATCAAATTTGTGTATGTTGTGTGTCATTCTGAACTTAAATCTTCTTGCCCTTGGCAAAATTTACTGGGCTTGCAATTTTTTTTTCCTCAGCACAAATCTGATTATACTTGCTAGGTCATTACAACTGATAATGTTTCTTTCACCTACTGTTTTACATAGCCCTTGCTTAGAGCAGTGGTGGTTGTTGGTGAGTACAGCTCAGTGAGGAGCATGCAAGTTTTCATTTTAACTGTGACGGTCTTGTCATCCAGTTTTTTAGTTAAAGGATGTAGGTGGTCTTTTACACTCAAACAAAAGTTTTGGTTTTGCCTCTTTTGGTGATTGCTGCCAGAAAAAGATCTTTCTTGGGCTTTCTGTTCAATAATTGAATCAAAGTTCATCCATCCTGTTTGAAGCCTGACTGGAGATGTTTCACTGGTCCTGAAGTCCATGTAATAATAAAGAAAAAGATACGAATGTTCTGAAAAAGGACTATCTAAAATATGTCAGAAAATAGATAATATAACTCCAGTTATATATTCTTCCTTCCAAAGACTTTGGAGAAGAAAGGCTGTTCTAGGTTTCTCCAAATATTTGCTTTATCTAATATGGCTGGACCAAAATGGTAGGTAGCAAAAGAAAACTTTTAAATAATAAGTGATTAAACTTTTTGTTTCAATTTAAAACCAGTGGAAAACCAAATGAAAGAATTCCTTTTAATTCCATTTTTTGTTGCATGGGTAAACATTAGGAAAGGATTGTTGAAGATTTATAGTTTTCAGTCTATGGATAAAATTACTCCTGACTGTGGTTGGGAGGCTATTCTTTGAAGATATACCTTCTGCTTCTGTTACATAAATACATGAGTCAGATGCATGTGCCCTTTTGTAGAAGGATAGTGCTAGGTACTTCTTTAGTATAGTGAAGGTAAGATTTTTACAAGCAGTTTCTTCCTACACCCTTGCTGTTGGTACCTGTCTAGAAATGCCAACATTGACATAACCAAACCTATTGAAGAATCTCTTTTTTTAAATGATGTTGCCTCATTTGATTTTTTGTTTTAATGAACATTCAATAATTGCAAAACACTTGCTAGCAGAAGCAGGTACACAAAAGTGTTTGAAAAATAACAGTTTGATACAGGTTATTTGGGTTAGGCAGAATACTTAATGCTGTAGCCACATTTCCTCAGCAACAATTGGCTCATCGTGTGGTATTATCCTTCTTAATCTTTTGATTTAGTGGTGTTTTCTTTCTAATGTGGGTCACTTCAACTGAATTGGTTTGAGAAATGTTCTTGTGTGTCATTTTGTCAGTTTATTTTAAGGGTGAGTAATCTCTGGCGTGGAGATGGGGACCTTTTCAATTGGCTGAGGTGTGTTTAGGAGATGATGTGTGATTGCAGCCTAACAAGAGCAGTTTTCTGTTACAATGATAGCTGTGATATTTGCTGTGGAAGCATCAGCTTGGAAGAACTGACGGTCTGCCAGCAGGACCTCATTAATTGCTATAAATTACGTAGCTGTTTGTTGTCTTAGTAACTGTGCTCTCTAGTCACAGTCCAGGAACACTACATCATTTACTTGAGGTCTAATCACAAGTAGATTTTAATTACTATTGCATAAGAACATAAGAGAACCACATTGCCACATAAATATTTTCAGATCTATCAAAGCTTCTGATTTATACTGAGTCACTTCTCAGTTTAAGTAAGGAACACTCTTCCTGCAAATAAACATTCTGTTTGCTTCAATAAGATGAATGCTAAAGGCAATGATAGTCTTTTTGATATGAAAACAATCTAAGACATTTTCATTTTTTCCCTTAAATAGATGTGCACTTAGAATTAGAAGAACGACTAGCAAAATTCATGAGGACAGAGGAAGCTATTATATACTCATACGGATTTGCAACAATTGCCAGTGCTATTCCTGCATATTCGAAAAGAGGGGACATTGTGTTTGTGTAAGTAATGTTTTCTACTTCAGAAATTCCAGATTGAATTTTTCTTTTTCATTATCTTATTAAGTTAACCATTTAGAAAATAATGCTGGTTTTGAACAAGTGTTTTGTATTTCTTTGCCAAATACTCCAAATCAGTTAGTGTTTTTATCATGAAAGAGCAGACTTGAGTACTCAGCTGGAAAAAACACAACAAAAAACAACAACCAAACTTGTGCATGAAAGAACTAACAGAAGTTTATTAACTAATTTTCTAATTAAGAAATTGTAGTCATATTTGCTTTTCTCCTGTTTACTGCTAGCTTTTCACCTTTCTTGCAGAACAATTGTTCTCATGCATATTTGCAAAGTTTAGTTGGATAAATATTGGTACACGTCAAAATAACACAGAACAGCTCTGCAGGGTCAAACTAAGGCTTCAGCAAGCCGAGTATCTGGTCCCTGAGAGTAGCCAGTTAAAATTTGTTGGGGGAGGAGTGAAAAAACAGGACAAACAATGTAACAATATAAAAAAAATTCTGAGCCAAAGAGGAGGGCTTGGTGTTAGCAGTAGTCGATGGATTTTTCTTAAACCTTCCTATTATTTTACTACCTTTTAAGTCTTTAGTATCCACAGTGGTTCTAGGACATGTAATTTCACAGTTTAACTTGAACATTTTATGAAAAAATACAAGGAAATAACTGGTTTGAATATAACAGCTTATAATTTCAATTGATGTATTTGATTGTTAGTCAGTGAACTGATGCATCTTCTCCATGGGGGATGTGGGTGAGTGGCTATGACGGTTTTAGCTGCCTGCTGTGATTAAGCCACAGCACACTGATACTTTTGTAGTTATCTACCAAATTTTTTCTTTAGTTCTCTTTTTTTCCAAGTGTAGCCTTGCAGCTTATTTGACTCCTTTTACCGAAGTTCTGTCACAACTTTGATAATGTTTTCTGGTTATCTTTGAGCATGTTCTATATCGGCTTAAGATGAACAACCAGGTTTGTGCACACTATTCCAGATGCCAGTGTATCCTGGATTCACCTATCTTCAGCTGTCTTCAACTTCTCACTGACAAAAGATCTCACCATAGCTAAAAACTTGGTTGGAATTACTGCGTTTAGCATGTGCAGAAAGTTTGATTTAGTTGCCACTTTTAAAAGATTACTTGATTTAAGCAGCTGTGAAACTGCATACCCCATCATGCTCAGAGATTTGCTTTTCCAATGCTTGTTCTTTGAACACTGAGATAGTAATTCCCAAGGGATATTAAAAAGCAGGTTTTGAATACTTGGAGGGCCGCTATAAATGTTACAGGCACAACTTTGTGCTTTTTTTCTAAGACCCAGAGCAAATGGAGTGAGAATTTTCTGGGATTTTCTGGGAATTTTCTGGTTACCATAGTATTGTGTCCAATTCATGGAATGTTGTGCTCAAATAAACTGCTGTCAAATACACACAAAAGGAGGAGTGTACACTTCAGGAAAGAAACTGTTAGCTTGCTTTTAGTGGCTATAGCAGATAGGAGAGTTGAGAAGTTTTGGAAATGAGTTTTCAAAATGTAAATAAAATATATGATGCTTTAATAAATCTGGTTTTAACTACACCTAAATACAGATATCTGCTCAAAAGCAGGACTGTCCTAATAGACAGCTTTCTTTGAGTAACTGTTAAACCAAGAGCAAACTTGGAATGGCTTGCTGTATTTGCAGAGATGAAGCTGCTTGCTTTGCTATTCAGAAGGGATTACAAGCATCTCGTAGTAACATCAAGTTATTTAAACATAATGATATGGCTGACCTTGAACGACTGTTGAAAGAACAAGAGACTGAAGATCAAAAGGTACCATTCCTTTGAAGAAATATTTGTGCTCTTTTGTGCCATCTCCCCCACTATTTTTTACTGGGTTATTTAATTGAATGGATGCAATGCTTATAGGCAGTTATTTGGTTTTCATAAATCTTTATTGAGTAGTCAATGTTGCTTATGTAATTAAGATTGATTTTAGGTTTTTTTAGTATTTATTTGCATTTGTCTGTGTAACCACTGGAAGTGAAGTTACAGGCACTGGTAGTGGGAAAATATCTTTATGAGCAGATGACCGAAGCGTGCGATTATTTTATTTTTTTTTAAATACTGTTACAGAGCTTGCTTTTCGGTCTTTTAGAAACTTGTATAGCTTCATTTACCTAATAAATCATAAATTGTCAGTTTGAATGCCACATTGTAAAATCAACACAAAAGCAGCTAGTCCTTACCCTTTAATTTATAGAATCAGCATGATTTATTTTTGTCTTAAACTCTTCCCCTATCTTGCACTCAGCTCATAAGGTGTTCTCTGTCTTGGGTCAGTTTGATGGCCTGCTTCTCATTCTGACAGTACTACAAAAAACAGCTACTAAAATCAGGGTCAGCAAGCATAAGTAACTTCATTAAATTAATTTTAAAATAATTAAACGAAGAGCTTCAGCTTTAGGCACATAATGTTCCTTGCTCACAGAATGCTGGAAAGTTACAGACAATTAGAAGACTCGTTTTGTGCTAACGCATTGAAAAAGTAAAGTAGATAAAATGCGTAATTATAAGGTAATCAGCCTAACATCAGTCTAAATCAGTACTGGATCTGATGATTAGCAAATTTATAGACAACTTACTTGTTAACATATCTTCATGGAAAATGCATTTTGTTAGGTAATCTGTATAGGAGCTTTTAGATGTGGTTGACACACTAGTGATGCAATTTGTGTAACACATTTGTTTTGTTAGAGCAGAGTGCTTTAGTTTAGCTACATGGGTAAAGTTTCTTAATGAAATTAGCTGAATGTGAACATAAGGTTGGGGGCCAAGAGCTTAATACAGACCATGTTTGTATAACTAAGCCATACTGACTAGGAATGCATAGAGCTTACCACTACAGATGGTCCAACTTGTAGAGTAGACTGTGCCTAGTTTTGGTGCCTAGCACTCAGAGAAATCAAATAGATGTCCTCTGAATCTTTCCACAAGATTGAAAATGGTAAGAAGCATGATTTAATGTCCTTGATCAGAAGATATCAATAAGGTTTAAAGTAAATACCAGGCAAATGATATCTTAAAACATCAAAACTCAAATCATACCATTGAATTTTAAACAGAAACCAGTGCAGGATATTAATGTGGCCTATATTGTCAGGAGATCGGACAGATTTTAACTTGAATGTTAGGAATTCTTTTGGATTGTGTTTTATGAAGACACTACTTCTGAGAGATTTGTGCTGAACTGAGAATGCTGGTGAACAAACCACTTGTTGAAAAGTCTTCTAAATACGCAGACTAATGATGAATATAGTAGAGACTAAGCTTTGTAATATTTATTCTGTAGTTATATTGCTTGAATTTTATTCATCAAGTTCAAATGGATTATGATTTGTTGCAAAACAAGGCATCTTAGATCTTGTGTAAGAGTTAAAAGCATTACAAAAAGAAAAAGAAAAGCTAGTTCAATAAGGCATTTCAACTTTTGTTAGAAATGATAAATGCTATGTTTAAACTAAAGCTTACTTGAAAAAGAGACGTTGTCTTCTTTCCCTTGCCATTACTGTCCTTCCCTATAAAATATTCAGAACTTTGCTTCTTAGTAGCAATTGATATGAACTGAAATCATATCTTTCTCTGAAGAATCCTCGCAAGGCCCGTGTAACTCGAAGGTTTATTGTAGTGGAAGGATTGTATATGAACACAGGAGACGTTTGCCCTCTTCCAGAATTGGTAGGTGGTTTCAATTTGTCTTTTAAACTCTGCATATGAAAACATGCAGCTAATGAAAAGTTTTGCATGCAGTTTTTTTGTTTAACTTCTTGCTTTCTCAAATGTTCATGAAATGATGATCCCGAAACTTACATGGTTTTTAAACTTCTGACCATGATTAGGATACTGAAACTATATGTAATGAGGCTTGCAAATGAATGTCTTGTTATTGTCTTAGTTTTTAACCTGTAAAGTGTCCTGTATTTTCAGCTATGCTGTATGATACTAAATCATTAAATTAAGTTATATCTTTAAAAAAAAAAAAAAAAGAAAATAAATAATAAAGTTTCAAAGAAACCCTCATGTCGCTGTCACAAATGGTGACTCCAAGGAAAACACTTGCTATTCAGTATAAATTTGCTTTATATGCAGGCTATATTCTAGTAGTCAACAAAAGAAATGTTGTGAAAATGCATCATCTTGAAACTACTTGATAGCCTATTTACAAAAAAAAAATAAAATTTTTTTTTGGTGCATGAACATTTATGAAATTTATCCTAGTTGTATGTGGTGGAAGAGTTTAGAAGGCTTTTAAAATGTCTTAATGACAGAACATAACTCTAGAGCTGACGTTTTTGCAGTATTCAGGATACTCTACTCGTCTGTCTTGACCTTATCTCCCTCATCCGTTTTGTTTCCAAATTTTGATAGGTTTGACTTCTATTTTATTTCTTTTGCTCTGTTTTAGATAAAATTGAAGTATAAGTACAAAGTTAGAATATTTTTGGAGGAGAGCCTTTCCTTTGGAGTCCTTGGAGAACATGGAAGAGGAATTACTGAACACTTTGGAATAAATGTAAGTGCCTTTTTTGTGAGTATTACTGTGAACAAGACACTTGTACAGGAAGTAATTTTGCAATTGCTTTCTTATAGCTGTGGCATTAACAATGTTTAGTAGTGTACAACAGCAATAGTATTACTTATTTTTAGTGAGTAAGATAAGAAAAGAACTTTTACAATGCATACTTTTATCTTTTCTTTGGACACTTGGTGAGATGATGATTGCAATATTTGCTGACCACGTATACTCAAAAATGTTCTGGTTACACAGAAATATTTGGGAGCTAGGGATAAGTCAGAAAAATCATCTCGGTGTATAGCTAGCCTACTTTACTCTATTGCCTTTTAGTCCAGTGGGGAAAAATAGGATAAAGCTTTTGATGGTCCTTTCAAAGATGTTGTCTTACTAATTTGCTGGCAGATTAAGTCAAACAATTTTTCCAAGAGTCAACTTTTTGTGGTGCTTATTCGGCTGAGGAGTACTTTGGAAATCAAAAGCAATGTCCTTGCAGTTGTTTCCTACTACAGTCACTTGAGCTGGGGAAGGAAGAAGTGCTCTTTTTGTTGCCAGTGTTTTAGTGCAGAGTACCTCTCACTACATTCTGGTGGTGTCATCTTGATGAGTTCATCTTGGAAGTGAAATATCAGATTCTGAGAATTCATTTGGTCTTTCCCTGTCTCCTATTGTTTTCACTATAAGTGTCTTAATACCAAATGTAGATGAGAGAAAATGAAGGTTAAGCAGCTTTAGATAAGGAAATAAACAGTGCTGCTGTGATGCTTGTCAAGTACTATTTGATTAACTGGTTTCTATGTCAAACTCACTTACAAACATAATCATTCAGTTTTGTCTGCTTAGAATGGGAATGTGTAGCTGTGGTTGTCAGCGTTACATTACAAAGCCTGGCAAAAAATATGTTTGCAACTATTAAGTGAAATAAGACAGTTGTGTCTCTAAGGTTCAAACTCTGATTTAACTAGACTTACGCTCAATTTTTATCATGTTTTAACTCCTGCTGACAGCAGTGGGACTACTTACATTCTTAAAGGACACTGTCAGACTGAGTACTTTGAGGAATTGTCACCAATATCTCTCTGTTTTTTTTCTGTTTGTTCTTCACATTACAATGCCTGGAAAACAGTGATCCTATGTAAACTATCTACAGATTCATAATTCTCAGTTTCTAAAGTCCTTTTTTGTATTGCTTAAAATTGCTATTTCACTTGTAGCTTCATTTTTTATATGTGACAGTTTTCATCTTCTCTAGCATTGATGATAATATGAAACAAGATACACCTTTAATAGATTTGTCTTATAAGTTGTTGTGACATAATCAAACTCATCTCTAAATAAATTGTATATTTAACTGGCAGATTGATGATATAGATCTCATTAGTGCAAACATGGAAAATTCACTAGCTTCTATTGGAGGATTTTGCTGTGGAAGATCTTTTATTATTGACCATCAGGTAAGCCAGGTCTCGTTTTTATATGGTGTGGCAACTTATTATTTACTTAAAAACAATGAGTTAGTGACTAATATCAATTTTCAAAGACTGTTATGTTATAAACTATTATGCAACATTTGATTCCATACAGAAACCATCTGGTTCTATAAAATGTTGTAGGTCAATTGGAGGCCTACTTTTAAATCCTTTTATGAACCTGTAAGTGCGGAGAGAGGTTGTTTAAATGTATGTGAATTACCTTTTCAACATTGTCTATACTGCTACAAACAAAACAGTGACATTTTTTCCTTTTTTTTCTTTTTCTCATACAGCGATTGTCTGGTCAAGGCTACTGTTTTTCTGCATCCCTACCTCCTTTGTTAGCTGCTGCTGCTATTGAGGCCCTGAATATTATGGAAGATAATCCAGGTACTTAATTCAGGAAAATCTTTTTCTTCAGTCTTTTTTCATCCAAAGATAGTAACTCCTCTCTACTTTGATTCCTTACCATTTTACTTGAAGTCCTCTCTCTTTTTCAGCTAATTACTTTTGCCTGCATGATTTTTCTTCCTGCTTTTTCCCATCCTGCTTTTTTTCTTCTTCAGCATTTCTTCCCCTTTTCTTATTCCAGCTGAAAATAAGTGAGTTAATTGAGGCTAGGAGGGATAGAGATGGTTATCACTAAGCAAATAAAAAATTATTTTCTGTTTTACAGACTAGTGATGTATTTCTTCCTTTAAAACAAACTCCTTCAAGTCAAATGGAGGAAGGGAAGGTTAAAGAGAAACAAATAAGAGTATATTTCCTCAGCCCTATCATTTCCACTTCCACATACATAATTTTTTTTTCCTAATCCAGGCAAGAATCTCAGGAAGGATCATGGTGCACACACCTGCAATTTTGGCAGGCTGTGGGAGTCAGAGAATTGCTCTTATTGCTAGAAACTAAGACTTTTTTTGCTGGGGGTAGAGGGAGTGAGAGGCATATGAGAAGGAAAGGAAAAAATTGCCCAAATCTCAATGTAATTTTTTTTTAACCTTCATTAATACCAACAGGTTGGAGGACATCTTCAGAGGGATGCAGTATTTAGTTTGTCACAAATTAAATAAAAAGTACTGGGTAGCCCATGCCTGGTCCTCCAAAGTTAAACAAAAGCACAAAAAAATTCAAGAATAAGTTATGAGACTGTTAGCTGTAGTGGAGGGTCAGCCTTTACCAAGGAAAAGAACCAAGTTTTGCAATTCCAAGAGTCGGGTTTCCTCTTTAAGAATCTGCAGTGAGGTGGTGAAAGGATCAAGGAGCAGAATCTGCATGGCTGTAGATATTTTATAGATATAAATAAGTTGGACCTGCCATTTCATTCCCATTACCAAGTCATTGTGTCATCTTTTCCATATGATCATGAACCAATACAGCTGGAGTAATGACATAAAGGGAAGTAATGCATTTGGCAGATCTTAAAAGCCTGTCATTTCCTGGCAGAAATGGGAATCAGGAACATTATTGAGGAGAATTGTAGAGACTTAGTACTTTAATAGATATGTGTATCTTAGTTTTCCTTCCAAATGCTTTTTTTGGAAATCTTAGCCTTATAGAAATGTAAAGTAGAAATGGGATATCTAAGTCTTTTCCTTTTTCTTTTTTGTCTTTTTTTTTTTTTTTTTATGTGTGGGTGTATAGACATTTTTCAGATTCTCCGGGCTAAATGCGAACGAATTCACAAAGCTTTACAGGGGTAAGTGTGTGTTTGGGGTTTTTTTGGCTGTTGTTGATTTGACCATACCTTTATAATGCCAACTTTAAAGACCTCCTTGCCTAAATCCGTTCCTGGTTTTACAGATGCTTAGATTGGGGTATGTACACTAAATTGTGTATATATTTAAGGAAGGAAGTAATCCTTCTCTAACTGTCTCTGTTATGCTACAAAAAAGAGTCTCAAGTTCTTAAAACCCCTTTTCAGGTATTGAAATGAGATTATACTTTAATACTACTGATGACATTTGCAAGCCCATACACACTTAAGTCTTTAGGAGAGTGTGATAGATTTCAATGGTATGAAATGTTGAATAAGAATTTTGAGAACAAACTCAAAAGTGTTTGGGGTGTAGCTTAGCAGACCATTCAACGCACCTTGCAGTCACCTTTTATACAATATTGTTCTTACATATAGGACTTGAATGTTAAATGGTAATAGAAATATTCATTTTTCTGGAGACAGACAGAAAAATACTAGAATTTATCTGAAAAAAAAGAAAGATTCTGTTTAAAATTTCCTAACACTATCCTGTTTCAAAAGATGGATATACTGAGTAGTTGCTTTTTTTTCTGGCAGGTTTTGATACTAAAAAATATAGAAATTACTGTGAGTATTCAACCACTGTTAAATATACAGCATAGTTATGTTAGCTGATATTTTATAATTTATTTTCTTCAACAGTTTCCTGTTACATATTACAGAAATTAATAACATTTAAAAACACAAAAAATCTATAATGCATGATTGATTATACCAGCTGATTTTTGTGTAGTATTAGTGACTTAGTTATTCAGTGTGAGTTACTTGTTATTTCAAATAAGTAGTTTCCTGCTTAGCTGATTTTTTTTGTTAGAGTTTCAGATTTCAGAATAATCCTACCATCAAATAATCCTTGTCTCCTTTGACTGTGATCTGTTTCAACATGGGTTTCAAATGCATAGGCTTTCAAGTCAAAAATACCTAGATGCTTCTACAACTGAAATTGAAATTTTAGAGTAACCTGACTACTGTTAGCGTCTCTTCTTTGCTAGTAATAGAATGTTATGGTTCAGCTAAAAGAATAATAATTGTAATATTTTTCTCTACCTGTCATTTTCAGGTGGTAATTATAAATACGTTAAAAATACAAGGGAAAACAAAAGGAAGAAAAAATTGTCAATCTCTTACTTGTCAATATTTGCTGCAAAACAGAAGCGAATAAGCCATAGCTAGTGCTTTTCTATGCTGTGACTGATTCTACTTTTTCACTTAAATTCAGTGATTAGTATAGTCACAAATCAACAAGTAGGCAAAATGCCTGAGCATCTGTAATGGGACTTTAGTATTTTTGCCTTATGGAAAACAGTGTGTTAATATAGAGGTCAAAAAATACGAACAGGAAATAGTTCTTCTAGGTCATACTGGGAAAGAACTTGAAAGATTTAACATCAAGGATTTGGGCATCCCTGTAACAGGAAAACTGTGCTAACAATTCCATAAAGCAATATCAGAGAGAAGATTTGAACCAATATTTGCAATGGTCCAGTATGTTTTTCTTTTTTTAATTAATAACCACCCTAGAAAAAGTATGCCATGGTTTGAAGAGGCGGCAAAGTTTTCAGAAGCTTTTTAAAGGTGTGATGTTAAATGCACTCGTATTCCTTGCTGAACCATGGCTGCTGCTTGGCTCCAGTTCTTTGTGGTGGACTAACTATGATAGAGTGGAACTCACTGTTGATTTCAAAGAGCGTAAAATGGTGGTAGAACTGTACACAGAGAAAATGGGAAAGAATACACAGCTTTTATCCTTTCTCATAATATAACAAATACAGTGAGAGGAGCAAATTAAAAGTAAAGGAAATCTTTCTTTTAGCCAAAGTGTAGCTAACCCATGAAGTTTAGAACTTGATACACAAGGACCCAGTGCATGATTGCTGTTCCAAAAAATGTTGGTCTTTATATGGCCTATGGTGGGGGAAGAAACAGCAGTGTTGTAAGCAAAACGGACTGAAATGTTTGTGAAGTTCGGGGCAGCCCTGCACACAGGGTTCCCTACAGCCAAGACCCTGGTCCTGGCACTCAGTTCTGCAGCCCAGAATGCTCTGAGGAGAGAGCTCCCCAAGGCTACATCTATGCTGCTCCATTGGTGTCAGGAAGTATTCCTGGGCACTGGATCTTGATTGTCTATTCTGTCAAATTGTTGGAATGATCTGTGGTGTAGTTTTGGCCCAGGCCAAGCAGTGCTCTTTGAAAGCACTCGTGTATACAGTTCAAGAGTTGGCATGAGCCAGGACCTGTTCCAGTAATCAGTTTGGATGTGGTCACCCTGACTTGGAGATTTTACATGTATGGATGTGAGTCATTCCATACCCATTCACCACAGGCCAGAAAACAGTCCAAACCATATTTAATTTTCTAATATAGAAGTAGCCTTAAAAGGAGTGTTGGAGGTCAGGAGGCTACTTTTATTCCTTTGTACTTCAAAATCAGATCTTCAGACATCTCTTTTTTTTCTGTGGAAGTTGTTTGAAATTGAAACTTTCCTGGCATTTCTTAGGAAACTGAATTCTGATTTCAGGAAAGTTAGTGTGCAGGCATTGGATTTTCAAATATTTGATGAATCTTAGTTTGGGAGACACTCAGAAAGGCGTAGTTAATACTTTACATGAAAGTTAAAGTACTGACATCAGAAGACCTCGCGTTAAACTCCTGGGTTTCTTCAAATAGTTGGGTAAGATGAATCATATAGTTCAGTTTACTATAGCTATGACTGACAGAAAAAGTTTTAAGACTAAAATTGTTTGAAACTTGTAAGCAGCCTCTATGAGAAAGTGTATAGCAAATGCAAAGCATGTTGTTCAAGCAGAGACTGAGTTTGAATGAAAGTGGTACAAAGCTTGCTTCCTACTCATCTTTTCTCATTTACTCTTTGGAGGGGGGCAGTTTATGATTATCTACTTGAATTAAAGAATTATGTCTATTTTATAACTATAAGCTAATACTGTGTCTCTCTATACAAAACCCAAGTGTTTTAGTAGCTTGTCTTAAACTCTGTTCTCCAGAAAATGGATTTATATTACAGTGAAACTTCATCTGACTTAAACTCCCGTCTCCCTATGTGTAAACACTGCTTATTAGAAGCTAGGTCACTCCTAGGGAACGTAACTAAGAATGGCTGTGTTATTCGGCTATACTGTATATAGGTTTTCTGCATTGTAACTGGACCTTGGACTGCTTTTCCTTGTCCTTCATGTTATGGAATGTTGTAGACCTGATCCCTAGATATGGGAGGCAAATGCTGTGTGTGTGCCTCTGTATTAAAGAAAATGCTTCTGTTTGGTAATTTGCAAGTGTAGGTCAATGACACCAGAATGTTTGCAGTTTTGTGGCTGAAGAAAAACATCAGTTTGATTTGTGTTTTATGGAATGGACTGTGAATTGAAATAACATTGTTGAAATAATGTAAGATGCTTTCCATGCTAGAGTATAATTTTTTTTTTTTTGAGGTTACAATCGATTCGGTATGTTTGTAGTACCAATTCACTCTTGTATAGGCTCTAGTTGTGGTGTTCATGGATTTAACATCTCTCTGCTCTCACTGGGTCTTGGACTTTTTGTAAAAATAGAAAACTTATTTGAAAAAGAGGGGGGTATAACCTTAGAATGTGTGAGGCAAGCTCATCAAACTCAGGAAATCAAAATTATGCCTGCTGGTAGACATGCATTTATGGGACCTGTTAATTTTGGAGACTAGAGGTCTTTCTTACTATAGGCTCCAAAGACTTGACCTGTCTAGCTGTGTTTCTATCAGCAACGTACAGGCCTAACACTAACATTTCTCCTACATCTTCATAAGGATCCTGTCAAAATTTCTGAATTGTTAATCCTTTTTGCAAAAGGAATAGTCTCTATTGTTATACAAACTTGATGAAGCTACATTTAGTAAGCTCCTTAGGAAAGACATTCACTTGATAAGTTTTGTTATCTTTACCTATTGTGAACTAAAATGCACAGTTGTTTTGTCTACATCAGTATTAGTAAAGTGAAATGTTCCTCTCTTCTCACTTGTCACCTAGAAAGGGGAAACACTATCTATAACTATAACAGGTGTGTTCAAATAGGATGTGCATTAAAGGTGTTTTATTTCTTTTAGGATTTCTGGCTTAAAAGTAGTGGGAGAGTCTTTTTCTCCAGCATTGCACCTACAGTTGGAAGAGAGCTCTGGGTCTCGAGAAAATGATGTGAAGTTACTCAAAAGAGTTGTGGATTATGTAAGTGACCCCATAGCAATTAAAATATGTCATTGCCTTTGAATGTGACTAATGAATGAAGGGCATCTGGGTGGGGAAGCTTGTTGGGTACCTTGTTGGAATGTCTTGCAGGAATGCTGCAAGAAACTCAGTTTCTTTGCTGACTGCAGGGTTATATTGAAGACCATATTCTAACCATTTCCTATGCAGATATTTAGGTCTGTAGCCCTGGATAAAAATATATATATTAGACCTTTTAATTCAGAAAATAATTATTTCCTGTTACATACTTCAAAACTCAAATTAAATTTGCATGTTAAAGTGTTGCTTAGAAAACTTTAATTATGTCTGTAAAAATAAAGGCTTTCATTTGAACAGGGTTCTGGTTGTGTATTTTAACTATTTCTGTGATTTTTGCTTGTTTGAGTCCATGAACTTGCTTTTCTGTGCAAAGAATCTCATCTTTTGTATGTAGTATTTTTTCTATCTTCAATACACATTGTTTCTCCCACATGGAGGAGGTAAAGGTTGATGAGGAAGTTTTATATTTCAGGTGGCAGGTAAACAAGACTGCACAAAAAAAGAAACTTTGAAGTTGATTTCCTTGAAAATATTCCTAAATATCATTTAATAGCCTATTGAATACAGCATTTTTGTCTGATTACTTGGAGATGAAAGCCAAAGAAGGTACACCCTAACCTGTTTTATGTGTTTATGCTGTATTAAAATTAGAGATAATTTTGCCCAACCTTTAAAACCTCCATTTAGGAAAGAACTTAGAGTTATCCTGACACCAAATTTGAAAGCTAGTTATGTTTATTTGGTGATAAAAAGGATATGCCATCAGAAGTTCCCAGATTGATGACTGCTATATTTTCTTTATTTGTAGTGCATGAACAGTGGTATTGCATTAACTCAGGCCCGCTATCTGGAGAAAGAAGAAAAGTGTCTTCCTTCACCGAGGTTAGTAGAAAGTCAATACCTTATTTCATTTTGTTGCATATGACTCTGTTTTCATACAATGGGGTTTTGTTCAGTAGACTGGATTGAATAGTTGGTCCTATAAAAAAGGAAAAGGCTTCATTTTTGAGGTGTATTTTCAGTGACTATGTGAATCTCAGTGATTAGCATGTTGCCTGTTACTGGGCACATTTCCACGACCTGCATTCCACGACCTGCATATCTGCAAGTAAAAAAGGTAACAATCAAATTTCCATGGTATATAGGGGGGGAAAAAAGTGGTCTGACCATTTCTGTTTAGTATATGTCTTGTTTCTGGTTGAATTTTAATTCATAATAATTACACTAGAGATAGTGATCTTAATGTGCTAAAATTAGTACAAGAAAAGTCTAAAGCTGGCAAGGAGTAAAGTTTATTCTGTATGTTCTGGTTTTATTTTTCTAGTATTCGAGTAGTGGTAACAGTGGAACAAACAGAACAAGAACTGGACAAAGCTGCATTACTTCTTAAGGAAGCTGCACGGTCTGTGTTGAATTAGACTGCTGTTTTGGATTACTGTTTCCCCAAATTATCAGGATAGGTGTTTAACGCTGTATAGTGACTTCACTTCAAATATTCAATTTCTTGCACTGGCAGCATTGAAAGCTGACTGAGTGACAAGATGTTCCAGAACAGTACAAATGCAGTGAGGGGAAGAATGCTGAATTTTGGAACTGGTGAATGACACGGTTTACTTCCAATTCAAACTCTAGCATTTACTACCTTTCCTTAGAATGGGATATCACTCTTGCATACAGGACTCTTTTGTAAGTTGCATCTTAAAAAGTTTTATTTCTTCAAACCTATAAACATTTTCAAAAAGATATATGAACATTCAGTTTTCCTGCAAAACATCTAAAAGGTATCGCTTTCTCTGCATGTTCCTAGAATGTAGGAACTTCAAATAAATTTCAAGGAATTCTTCCCCACTCCCCCTAAATGAAGATAGGCTGTTCCTAATGCTGCCAAAAGGGAGAAGATAACACATTAAGAGATAATTTTGTGCTATATTAAGAAATTTATTACTGAATTATGGGAGGCACTCCAGTTCTTTTTTGGTTATATTTTTCTCGAACCATTTTTGGAAGCCAGCTTTTAAGAACGCCTGGCCAGAGAATACCATAATCTAAACAGTAAATTTGTATTAACTGTTATTTGCTTCCTGCATTTCATATGTGATCATGTGCATGTTTGTTATTATGGGTGAGGGTTTTCATATTACTAAAACCTCTGAATTGTGAAACTGGTGTAATTCCATTATAGTATGTTTAGTCAGGGGGGCTTTGCACCAGTCTTCAAGAGGACTCCTAAGTAAAATGAAGAATGAACAAAGGTTTTGAAACAGCAACTAAATACTAGTTTTGAAGCACTAAAATAGTGTGTGCTAAGGTTTATCTCTAAGCAGCTACACTTTAGAGGGGAAGACTCACAGATAGCTAATAAAAGTTTAGATGGTACAAATACTACTGAAATACAACTTAATACATGCACATAAAAGCCCCGCATAATTGCCTAGTAATAATTGGGTGTTATGCTGTCAGGATTTTCAGTAAGCAAAGATGAACATTACAGAGATGGACATACTACACCGATCATAGGAAACAGCTGGAAGGAAGGATGACAGTAAGCTATACCTTTTTATAAAATAAAACTAGCTAGGTATTTCAGGATTTTGCTTTAAGAATGCCCATTTAAAAATTTTATATTCTGCCTGATCTGTGTTCTGGGTTATTTTGTGCTTATGTGCCTTTTTGGTTGCTGCTACAAGGACTACAGGACTACTTTTGAGAAACATCATTGTTTAAATAAAAAGTTAATCATGCTTGTTTCAGATTTTTATTTCTCATATAATTAGATTTTGTAGTGTGATCAACCATATTGTTGAATATTCTGAATCAGATGTGCGTAGTCTATATTGCCTCTTTCAGTTCATAGTGACTGTCTCTGCACTGGCTTTCAGAATTTCTCACCTCAGATGAACCAACCAAAGTTACGTTGTGTTGGGGCACTTCTGTGATTGTTTCTTGACTATTTGAAATAGTCAAATCATTTTCTGTGCAACGCAGAGAAGCCTTCATCCCAATGTGAAAGAATATTCTTATTTCGCTAACATTTATGTTTTTCTGTATGAACTGTGAATAAAAGCCTGTGAACAGTGAACAATTTGAAAGAACAAAAATGTGGGGAAGGAAGCTAATGTCTGCTTTACAGACTGGAACTAAAGTGCAGAACAATCAACCTTCCCAAGACTGTCGGAGATTGCAAGAAATGGAAATTAAAACTTACCTCAGTACTTTTATGGCTTGTGAGCCATTTTTGTTTTGATAAATGAAACCTGAATATTCAAGTAAACTCAAGCCTTTGATGTAGAAGCTGAGAACAAAAGAGGTACCTGGATTCCAATGCAGCATAATAAATGGATTTGGAGTTCATGGTAAACCTGTAAAGGTAAGCAAATCACCAATTAGTATTGAAATACTAGGTTGCAGAATATATATTAACTTTTTGCATTTTGTTTTGGGTTGTCTGCAAATGTGGGGAATTTTTTTATTTCAGTTTCGAGAGCAAGTAACAATTTTTAGATTTGTGGGTTTGTTTTGTTGGTTTTGGTTTTTGCTTTAAAATGAAGTGATAACACCTAAATTGGCAGGAAGCAGCATGGAATTTCTGGCAATTTCAAAGCTGTGGTTCTTATGAAACAAAAGTTCAAGTACGTTGCGAAGAGATACTATCATCAGATTCATTTGGCAAACATACACAGAGTTAAAACATTGGTAAAACTTCTTTTGTCCATTGTTGCTTACAAGAGTATAGAAAAAAAAAAGCATTTAAATCAGAGTAAAGTGAACACCTTATGATTTACAGCAGTTGAAGTACTGTTATAATGTATATTTTACTGACAGGTTATATACATGGTCTCTGTGAGAAATTAAACAGGAGATGTAGGTGATGGAGAGAGATATGGCTCGTCAGTTTAAGCGTGTCTGGCCCTCTTCATTTTGGCTTTTTTGATAAATAGCTCTGACGTGGCAAGTGGATGAAGGGAAGGATAGCTCTGGGGAAAAAGGTTGCTGGAGGTTAGGGAGACAGCAGGTGATTCTGGTTAAACTTCTGACATTGGAAAATCAGAAGGCTGTTAAGGTGCTTAAGTTCTCAGTACTCTAGGCTGATAAATATATGAACAAGCCTGTTTTAGTTGTTTTGTGGTTATGTTTGGATGACGCAGGACATTTTCATTCGTTTCTTCAGATGTGGGAGCTGGACTGGGGGTCTCAAATGGGGGTCTCAAAGCTATTCAGCAGCATACCGTGAGGTGAATCAAACACGTAAGGGCATTATCCCAAACTTCAAAGTTTCTGTTGAAAATGAAAATCTGGATTTTTAATTCTAATTCAACTAATTTATGTATTTTGCCCTGCCAAGTATTTGGAATAGAATTTCAGTTAAATGGAAGCATCAGGATAAGAAACAGTGGTCAAAATAAATGTTGTTAATTTTTTTTTTTTTTTTGCTGAAGATTGGAATCTGGTACCTGAAGGAATGCATTTTAATTGTAGTAAGGTGGACATTTATTGAAATTGTCTGGATGAAAGCAACTGTTTCTGGGATGGACAAGAAAGAATTTGTACTTTGAAGGTATTTTGACTTGAAGAAACAAGTCTTCATTATACATATTCTTTTTTTAAACAAAAATGTATTTTTTTTTAATATTTAAAAATAATTAATTGATTGCTATTTGTGTGGGTTCGTTGTTTTATGGGAAAATCTACAGATGCCTTTTCTGTTTATTATAGTAATGATTTTTTGATAGGAGGTGAAATGCATAAGGAGAGTATTAAGAAAAAAAAGAGAGGTATGGCTGAATAACTTTGATTATTTTTTTTTTCACTTCTGAAATATGATCCCAGTCACTGTACAGAATGGTGTACTGTCTTCTTTCTGTCACTCCATATGGACTTCATTATTTTAAACAGGGTGGTGGGAGTGTTGGCATTCATTGGTCTATGAAGTTCCTACCGCAAAAGTGTCTTGCGTTTTAGGATGACTCAAGAAATCTGCGTGAGCTGTAGATGCTGTTTGAACAGGGGAAATACTTTAACACAAAGCATTTGTATATTAAACCATTTCACTGTCCTAATAAAAACAAGTGTCTGGATAATACTTCTTGTTTTGTTCTTACCTTTTTTGGCAGTTTTCTTGCTAATAAGATAATGCACTTACTCTGTCTTGCTGTTGATGAATTTTTTAAATCTTAGTTTCATGTCCAGTGTGTGCTAGGAAATTATGCGTAATAGTCACAAAAACTAATAAATCAGCTGAACTGCAGATCTGGAAGTATCTATGAAGGAAGGACAGTTGTCTATATAACCAGTTTCTAATACTTAGGTAGCAAATACAAAAAACTGCTGTTGCAAACTAGACACTGGGCCAGATACAGCTTTGCTGTGATTCAGTATAGAATTTCTGATGTATCAACAAACTTTGGAGTCCAGATGAAACATGCCTCAGCTTTGAAAGACCTTGACAGAAGGAAATACTGCAGTTTTGCCTACCGTGTTATATGGATAAGATTTCTCTTTTTCCCCCTGCTATTAAAGGTCTTACCACCTCACTTTGCAAGTTCTTTAGCTAATTGAAGTGCATTTTCCAACAGGGGATCTGGTGTTGTTGAAAATTGATAAGTATGGGAGTCAGAGGAAAAAAATAAATAGAATTGGAAATGTTTTATCCACTGCTTAACTTATATTTGATGCAGGCCAGAAATGAGAATTTACTGGATCATTACTAACAGAGGTAGACATGATCGTCCAACTCAGCACTTATCAGACTGCACTTGGAGTACTGTGTCCAGTTCTGGTGCCCACAATTCATGAAGGACAAGGACACACTGGAGAAGGTCCAAAGGAGGGCCACAAAGATGACCAAGTGGCTGGAGAACCTGCCGTGTGAGGAAAGATTGAAACGTTCAGGTCTCTTCTCCCTGGAGAAGAGATGGGTCAGTGATTATGTCCACATTTCCTAGATGCAGATGCACATTGCTGTTATCTGACTGGTGGGAAGCAAGGGATATGCAGCAAATTGCATTAAATTGGGAGTTTAATATGATGGCACAAATGAATTGGATTTATTAGGTTATGATTCCAGTGAAAATGTAATGACTTAGTTTCAGTCTAGTTCCAGTGCTTATCTCTTCCTTGGTGCATAGTGCTGGTGAATGCTGTGCAATTTACAATACCTGCATATTTGAGTGTACTGGCATTGGATGGGATAGAGTTAATTTTCTTACAGTAGATAATGTGGGGCTGTTTTTTGGATTTGTGCTGGAAACAGCATTGATAATACAGAGATGTTTTGGTTATTGCTGAGCGGTGCTTACACAGAGTTAGGGCCTCTTCTGCTTCTCACACTGACCCTACAGTAAGTAGCCTGGAGGTGCACAAAAAGTTGGGAGGGGACACAGCTAGGACAGCTGAACCCAACTGACCAAATTCCATGACATACACCATCATGCTCAGTATGTAAATCCAGGGGAAGAAGGAGGAAGAGGGGATGCTCAGAATTGTGCTGTTTGTCTTCCCAAGTAACCGTTGCGTGTGCTGCTTTCCTGGGGATGGCTCAACACCTGCCTGCCAGTGGGAAGTGGAGAATGAATTCCTCGTTTTGCTTTGCTTGAATACATGGCTTTTGCTTTACCTATTAAATAGTCTCAACCTACAACATTTCTCACTTTTCCGCTTTAAATTTTCCCTATCCCACTGTTGCAGGAGGTGAGTAGGAGGTGATGTGGGGCTTAGTTGCCGGCTGAGGTTTGAAGCATAAGTTGAAATACATAGAAACACATAATGACTCAAGTGCCAGTGATCACCTCTAGGTACAGAAGGGTAGTCTTGCCACTTCAGTAACTTTTTACTATTTGAAACCACAGAATTAAGTGTGAATAAGATATCACAGCTGTAGAATCAGAAATGCTGGAGTTGCAGGTCAAAAATGGGAAAGTTTTTTGAATGCTATAAGGTGAAGACAGCAACATAGATGTTTTTTACAAAGATGGAATTTGGTAGTATTTAAGGGGCCCTCAGTTTGAAAATGAAACATAAATTGTTCATTAAGTGCCGATTAAGAGTAATAAGATATAAGAATGCAAAGTGCTGCAGTAGAGCTGCAATGGAGATAATGGACAGCAGGATCCTAGCTATCATTACTAGTGAGGCTAAGTTACAGAAGTTAATTGTCACCAGAATTGTTGCTCACCTGTTGTTGGTTCATCCAAGTCTAGGGAGTAACAATGCGCATTGGAGAATGGTGACCTTGATTCTGAGTACTGGAAATTCTTGCATATCAAAAACTGTTTGCAAGAAAAAGTAGTGATAGTGACTCAACTCACAGCAAAATTATATGCAAAATCATATAGAAACTAGCAAATGAAGTTGCAACCTGGGAGAAGAATTCAGTGTGTGATAACAAAGGGAATTTATTACGTGTCCGCATATCTTTCTATAAATACATTTGCTATGCTGGGTTAAAGAAAGAGTTGAAAACAGCTAGGTGAAAAAAACCAAACCTCTTAGCAGTTCTTAGCAGAACTAAGAGATGGTATCAAATAGCAAGGTTTGAACAAGTTTTGGCTACTTCAACGCTTAAAATTAAAAAGAAATAGGGGTTTCGTATATGTTACAGCGATTCTTTGTGTAGCCAGCAGGGCAGACGAAAGATGTAGTAAGCTAACTCATGGGGAGTGGGCTCTTGTCACAGATGGAAAAATGGCAGCAACATTTGCCTTTGGGGTAGTTTACTGTGGAACGGTTGATGGGCACCATGAAACTTGCACAATGCCCATTCTGTTTAGCATTTGAGTATCTTTACTTGGTGGCTGACTGGACTGACAAAGCCCTTTAATTCCAGAAAAGAGGAGTAGCCTCAGAATACTCTTAGGCTGCTAGGATACACCTTTGTGTGTTTATCATTCCTTAAGGTGGTATTGATCATCTATTGAGCAAGGTAGTATTGAGCATCTGGCTGTGGAGGCATACTCTGTTCTTATTGCTATGCCTCCATTTGATAGAACATATCCCAAAAGGCCACTGATTAATCCTGCTTTCTTGCTTTTCACAGACATCGCAGTATAGCTCTTGCCAGGCATTAAAGGCAAAGCGGTAAGTTTGAAACATCAGTTACAGATGACACTAGAACAGCCAGTAACATCAGGTGCTCATGTGTTTACTTAAAGAACCTAGAGGTGAAAGGGGTGTGATTTTCAGGTTTTCTTGGAAGATCCAGGTGTGTGTCTTATCTTCTCATTATTACCTTTCCTGTGAAATTATCCACTTCCATGACACTATGAAATAATTTCTGAAGTTCATGCAAGAGCAAGCTTGGTTTCTCAGCTCGCATTGGAGCGTCATACTGTGTTTCTCAACAGTCTCAGGATGTATGATCTCCTTATTACTTCCAGTTCTCTGTAGGTTTATTTTTGTAAAGTGTTTTCAATATGGATTTTTTCCAAGAACAGTGTGGAATTGGGATGTTCCTGAGCAGTGATCGAGGGACATAACATATCCGTGAAGACACGCTATATGAATTCACATAGAAGTACTTAAATTAACAACTTTGCTTCCTTGGCTGATGAATAATTATGTTGATGATGTTTCCCACTTGGAGGCATTAAAATATCTAGGCAATATGCTCAGCAGTTAGTATAAATATTTTGGTGTGGTCAGCTAGAATTACTTATTTTCATAAATCTTGTGTCTACTTGAAATGTCTCAACTACTCAGAGATGACTGAAATGGAAATGTATGTTATTACATTGATGTCGTTATCCTTCCCATAGTATACGTGATTAGGATAAGCACTCTGCAGCAGGAAGAATGTTTCCTTTATTAAAGGAGAGTGTTTCACTGCTTCTGGTAAGTAAAAATAAATAGAAATTCGTATTTTTGTGTATGAGAGAAAATATGCCTTTTTTTTTACTCATATCTCTAGTGTTTCTTGTACCAGTAAACACATGTGAGATGAATGACCCCCTATGCAAAAACATGGTTAGCATTGAGTAACATGCAACTGAAACTTCACCTGCCATTAATAAGCAACTGCCTTTTGAAGACATATGGATAAGTATATTTTGTTTAGGAATCTGCAAGAAGAAGCACATAATCTTGCATATTATCAAAAGCTGAAATTTCTTATTTTGAAGCTTGGCTTAAGGTAAGTAGCTTTACCAGATAAATCTTCAGCAAGTGACTGCAGAGACGTAGCAGGCTGTCAGTTCAGCCATGTAGGGAAAGCGAAAGTTTTAAAGCTAGTCATGAGATCACAGTTTTCGTACTTGGTTCACTTAAAGTTATAGGGTTTGTGTTCTAAAAATAAACCAATCTAACATTAGCTTTTCATTTGTATTAAAATTTATTTTAAAGTGCTCATAAATATCAAATTTTTAGTTAGCATGGGAGAATCCTTAAAACACAAAACAAGGGAGCATTTTGACATTTGAAAAGAGAGTTTAACTTTACTGTTCTTTTGTGTAGAAGTCCATGAAATGTGATAATGGAAAGTGTTTGACTCGTACAGGTGTTGTTATCTTTGAAGTCGAATTGTGGACCCCTGTTTCTGTCTAGTATAAGAGTACTGCTATCCAGAGTTTGCAAAGAATAGTAGGGTGCTTTGTGGCACAACTGCATGAAACTATGATAATTTGCATGGAGGTTTTTTATTTGACAGAAACATTTCACTTGTTTCCAGTGTTAGCCAGGTAAACTCTCTGACATCAGTGCTGTTGAGAAGTATCCCAGGCAAGTTTGGTGCACCACATGATGGTAGTACTAAGAGTGTCTAGAATCCCTACCTCATGGAAGTAAGAGTATTAGTTTCCACTGAAGTCATGGTTTCACTGACTTTGTACATTTATTACTGCTAATACTTGCCCCTTTGCAGGAGTAAACTGGTGACCTTGTTACGTGTGTAAATTACTGGTTTTGATCTGTCTCCCACTCTTTTATCCAGGTAAACCATATATAACCCTAATGCTGTAGGATTAGAGCATTTTTGTTGATATTCTGATCTTAATCCAGAAACTGTAGCTAAAACCAATTGCGTTGAGTAATAACGTTGCTTTATACATACAAATACAAATGTGTCTAATTCTGACTGGGAGATGTGAGCCA